GAATCCAAATTGCATAGTGAGTGAAATTTCTGCGACAAGCGAGTCAATTGGCAGAGGATTAGCTTAGAATACATGTTAAAGCTCTCCTCCAAATTCAATGAACATAAAAAAATGAAAGTTGACAACAAAGTCTCGATTATTTCGTTATTGTTATTAAAACAGGAGCGCTTCATTAAATGAATCCATGTTACGGCAAGGACACACAAACATGGAAATAAATTTATTGCTCATCAAATGATTCTTTATTCAAACTAAAATGAGTGAGTGCACAAAAGAAGAGTTTCTGAGTGAGAAAGCGGGGAGCCCGCATACCGAACGATGTTATCATGTGTCACAAACTCAACCTACCTTACGATCCGCTAGCCGAACGTTCCACGCCTACGTTGAAATCTCCAATTTAGAACCGAATATCATCAATCAGTAGTTCACTTTTATTTCTAGAACATAACTATAGAAAGTTCAAATGTTAATCTTTTCTTCCTCACACACAACACTCACTACAGGCAACACAACACTGAAAAAACACTAAATGAAACACAATAAGTATAGACGTCATGAATTCCCACTCATGTTTCAGGTGCCAGCAATAGATGGCGCCACTTGTGTGACAAACGTTTATCCAATCGCTTTGGATTAAAACAATGTTTTAAAACAAAAAGTAATTACTATAAATGTATATCAAAATTAATTTCTAACCTTTGCAGTATGGCAACACATTGTAATTTGACACTTGGATAAGTATAACCAAAACCTGCAGATGAATGTAGAGGGATAATGTTTAGTTCGTTTATACATGAGCCCGTTATGAGATCAGCCTCCGAAACGATGATGTCAACGAGTGGTGGGGGTTGGCGCTACTTATCCACGCCAAATTTTTCTTAACAAATATCTGAAAAAATATGTGATCCTGATGAGATTTCTTTCATCTACCTAGATATTTGCATTCCACGCACTGCAGTTTAATTGCAATAAACAAATTCACTTAGGATGAACGACAATACAGATCCAACAAACATTTAAATTCTACTCTTTAGCAACTTTTGATCCTTGGGATAAGAAGTCATGCGTAATTATTATTATTTTTTTTTTACTGGATCGACTCTTCGCTGAGCTCATCCGCAGGCTCGTCAGCGGACCTACACGCCACATGTGCATCTGAACATTAAATAAATTAAATCCATCCCTAAATTCTGGACGGATTAATTTGCATGAAATTTAGAACTAATAAATAGAGTTTGCCGCGATTGGAAGGATTGCATATCTTTACATCATTCCGTTTTGACTAAAACGAGAATAAGGCATTTTTTCCGCAACTGAATAGTTAATAATTAGATTTAGTTAGGTTACATTAGGATAAGTTAAGCTATGATAGGTTGTTTATAATTTAAAAACCAATATCTTAATCTAACTGATCTAACATAATTTTTTATAAAGTTTCGCTTTAATCGAAAATAAAATGAATTAAACATCTGTAATAATTTCTAGTATTTTGATAATAATTAGTTATCTCGTAAATTTCAGAAAATCCAATCATAATTGTCAATGCATCATAATCAGTGCGGTTCCTCAATGTAGGCGTTTTAATTGAAAGCGAAAAGAAATAGAAATCTGTAATAATTCCTATCGCAGGATATTTACTTACATTAGGGGCAGATCTCCCACTACGAGGTTTGGGCAAATATGTTACTATTTGTGAAAATTATGAGAAGTTCAATTGTGCAAAAATTGCGTTTAGAGTGTGAGCCCGTTAGCGAGTACACGGATGAGCCCGTTAGCCAGTACGCGGAAAAGTGTCGCTTCGGTTATTCATTTCCATGTTTTTAGAGAGAGACGACGTTAATCACGACGAATGTCGGTGCCACAGAACTCATTACAGCGGAATTGACGTTGACATAAATGATAAAAATTCCGAGCAAAATGAACACGAGAATTCACGAACTCGCCAGCCAACAACCCTCACCAGCCAACAACCCTCACCAGCCAACAACCCTCACGACTAAGGGTCGGGAGCAGAAATAGAAGCTCCGTGAGCGCCTCTGTCGCCAGCTGATATTCTCCCTTAAACTGAGATCACTTGAATAATTTAGATTATTTACAGTATAATAGCAACACGAATGTATTTTAAGAGCGACGCACGAGCGAGACTCGGTAGCACTTGAACGGAACATAAAAACAAGCTATAACCCAGAGACAGCATTCCTTCCTTTAGAGAGAACTCTAACCAATGACTTGTTGGTATTGCTAAGATACGATTTCTTCTGAACTTCATAGAAGAAAATTTATGATTCTTTTTTTGATTTCATTGATTCTTTCGAGAAATACGAGTGTTGCAAACTTGGTTAAAAGAGTAATGCTAGATGAAAAAGACTAGTATCAGGATGAAAATATCTCACGTCTCATCATTGTATTTTAAAATAACCTTCAAAAATGTACAAACAAGACAGAATTAGAAAATTACAGTGTAAAAATTAATAATACTATAACAGATGATAAATACAATTTGGAATATAAAATAGAACAAAATAGCAAGACAAAAACAAAATCTCACAATCAATAACTGACAAAAACCGCCGACTTCAGTAGAAAAGCTTAGGTAGCTGCGCACTACAAGAGGAACAAGCTACGTTTAATTAACTTGTTAATTCATCCTTCATTTACTCACTGTCGTCTGTTCCTCTGCAATAAAGATGGTCAAATAGACTTGAATTGAGATTTTAAATTGCGTTCAACTGTTCACGAATCTCGATCATGTCACGAGTTTCTTCAATAATAGAAATAATAACAACACAGATGCTTCCGTAGACACGTAATACACACAAATTTGTTCATCAAATAATTAATTAATTTATCAAGTATACATATGCATATCACAAAAGCGATAACTTGAGCCTATTTATTACGCATTGCCAAATCATATGATGTGAACATAACACTGTAGCTTTTGTAAAGCATGAAAAAGAAATTACACCAACAAATCAAAACCAGATGCCTAAAACATGGGCTCATGTATACAATTGAATGGGAGCTCAATATACAATTGAATGTCGTAACAAAGAAGTAACATTTCACGGGCGATGCGATGTAATGGCATCTTACGACATGTCCATCAGTGTACAGACGTCACGTGTACAGGCGTCACGTGTACAGGCGTCACGTGTACAGGCGTCACGTGTACAGGCGTCACGTGTACAGGCGTCACGTGTACAGGCGTCACGCTGATCTTGTCGTAAGAAATAACGTAATAAAGTCGCTAACACCAAAAAAAAATATGCGCCAAAAGCAAGTGTTCCTCATTACCAGAACACAGCTTATTGTCAACATAACTATTAACAAGCTTAACTCAAGTCGCATCAAAGAGAGTGCATCTAATCTAACGATACCATGAGAACATATACATTCCTTTCAACGATGAAATCTTGGGAGAAAGAGCCAATAAGCGGCGATAAATATGATGAATAAGGATCCATATCTGAGCGAGAGGTAGAAGAGACTTACGGGAGTTGAGTGGCTGATCTAGCGAACAGAAAAAGCCTATTGTCTATCATATTATTTAATAGATTTGTTAAGACGATAAGGGCACTTGCATCCGACATGAGAAGGAACTTTTAGTTGCAGCGGCGCACTATCACACCGCGACAACATACAGGGTTTGGTGCACGTCTAACTACAATATAGAGCAATAAACTTCCACGTACCGTGCGCGGTTACGTTAAAAGTTCACGTATTTGTACGAACATCTTAATTTGGGAGTAGCTTATTGTCAACATAACTATTAACAAGCATAACTCAAGTCACATCCAAGACAGTGCATCTAATCTAACGATACCATGAGAACATATACATTCCTTTCAACGATGAAATCTTGGGAGAAAGAGCCAATAAGCGGCGATAAATATGATGAATAAGGATCCATATCTGAGCGAGAGGTAGAAGAGACTTACGGGAGTTGAGTGGCTGATCTAGCGAACAGAAAAAGCCTATTGTCTATCATATTATTTAATAGATTTGTTAAGACGATAAGGGCACTTGCATCCGACATGAGAAGGAACTTTTAGTTGCAGCGGCGCACTATCACACCGCGACAACATACAGGGTTTGGTGCACGTCTAACTACAATATAGAGCAATAAACTTCCACGTACCGTGCGCGGTTACGCTAAAAGTTCACGTATTTGTACGAACATCTTAATTTGGGAGATATAACAACATAAGATTTAAATCTCGGCCAATAAATGAAGTCGGAGGTGTACATAAACATAATAATGAATGGGTGTGCAGGATCATTAATTAATCCACGTGAATTTAATCAATATTCATGCAAACGAAGTTCAGCTCGCCACCTCAAGTTGCAAGTCTGGGAGCTCCAGAGACTATCGCTGTACTGCGATACGCTTCACAGTGATGACTTCATTAACTCAACGGAAAGTTGAACTCACAGAGGATGGTGCAACTTGAACTCAAAGAGGGTGATGCAACTCAAGTTTGCAACACCACACAAATTCTGAACAAATTATACGAGGATTGTTGTCCAAGATTTAGCTGACAGCAACATTGTAAGTAGCGTTAAACTTCGTGATAGCTGCTTGCTTCTTTTTGCTCACTGCTTGAGAAACAACAAAAATTTATCCTTTTGTCTTTACAGAAAAATAAAATTACTCTTCAGTCAAATGAAAATAACTCCGGTTTTTAGTTATTTAAGAAGTAAATTCTTAAAATTGGGAGCATTTATAACAATTTATAGTCCTGCAATTGGATACAAATTGTGATAATTGTTCCTTGCAAGAGTGAGATCGAGAGAACTGAATCTTTTTCTGCACGTTATTAGCAGCTACGTCGTGAGCCGTGACGTGTCATTCATTACCGTTACATTCAGCGTCTGCAACCATCAATCAGTCTCGGTTACGAACTAACTCTGTAATTAAAGCTTTTTTTATCATCAAAGAACGCATTACCATTGAGAACTGCCGAGGACAAGAGAGTTCTGAAGGTAATTCGGAACTCTCAGACATAACATAACACAAACTTACGAGTGCAGGTAGATTTAACAGGCAGTCTACTGATACATTATGCGTCGTCACTGTTATTGCTAGCTACAGGCCTGGTCACTAACGTCACTGTTATCGTGCAGGTCTGGTCACTAGCGTCATCAGCAGCTGACCCAACTAAGAACGATAATGCCAGCTGAGGGTGCCGACATGGAGGCACCAGAACAACATAACAATTAATTTCTTCGGGACCTCTTGCAAAAAATACTCAATCCTAAAGTCTTTGGTTAAATAATTAACATTGATGTGTTAGACAGGCAGTATGGGAGGATGAGGTGAGATGGAGGAGTGTGATGTAGGGGCACTGGAGCAGGGGAGAAGCCAGAGGAGGGGATGAGACTTGCCACACACTTCCCCCATCAGGGCCAACTTGGGGCGATGTCCTCTGTAGGGGCCTTGTCGCTTCACCTGTAATATGGACAAAGGTTGTGGGAAGACAGTTGACAGTTGTGCTATTCGTTGCAAAAATTGTACATTTGTACGCAGGAGGGCACAAATAAGGCTTTTGGTTACAGTCTCAAATTTTAACGTCATATATTGTATGTTGAGAGCCTGAAGGCGCTATGGAACACACCTGCTCCACGGCAGTCTCGTCGGAGAAGATGGCTTGCAGTTGATCACACAGAATTGCCGAGACGAACAACCCGAACAAAATGCTCTCCATGGACAGGATCACTGAGTGCATCCTAGGAGAAATTAGAACATTAACAAACAAATTGTGAAGAGTAAACGAGTAAATTAATCTAAGGGGGATAAATTATATATCAGAAAGGACACCATGTCATGTTTAGTTTGAGCAGATCAATCAAGTTTTGACAATGTCAACAGGAACAAATTGTTAAAAAAATTTTGAGTAAATTTATTTATTGTAGACAATTATATATCAGAAAGGAAACGACCATGTCATGTTTAGTTTGAGCAGATCAATCAAGTTTTGACAATGTCATGTACCAAAAATTTGATGTACGTATTAGGACAGTCTTACAGCCTGGCCTGCTTGATCATCATGGGGGGAGGCTTGCAGTGGCCGCTACTGCACGGGTGGATCCAGGACGTGGCGATCAGGAACAGGGAGTACAGGCACAGCATCCCCACGAACACCAGGAACTGCAGGAAATATTTCTGGTTCCACTCGCCCACACAGTTGTTGATCCTGCCAGCATGTCAAATATAAGAGAATTGGAATTTTCAGATATATTAGACAATTATAACTAATCAGTAACTCATCTTACTCGAGTTCTCTTGCCCTGGAATAGAGGAAATGAATAGATCATAAGCAACACAGTTCAAAATTAAATCATTGGACTTGGTGTCTAATGATAATTTTGCACAAATTTCCTTGTGAATAAGCAAAGCACCTACTCTATTATTCATACAAATACATATACCACCTACTTTTTTAAGGTCACAATTCACAAGCCCACAATATCTTAACACAAATTTTGTTCAACTCTCCAACAAGTTATGTTAAGCTGACCACGGACAATGGTGATCCATTCTGCGAATGCAGCGCTGACACACGCGGCAGTGGTGCGCGCGTGGCGGCCTGTACATCTCGCAGCGTGCGCACACTGACCACTCCCCTCCATCTTCTGCCTCTATTTTTCCTGAGTAATGAGGCTGTGTTAATTGAAGGAAAAATATGTTTCCAGTCCCAAATACTAACTTAAAAATAAACAGGCAATTTAATAACTTAGAATATGAATGGCCATCTTGGCCTAAACTTTTCTTGGCCTAAACTAACATAATCTAGATGTTCTGATTCATTACCAAGACTTTCTACATATGTTTTGGTGAAAAAATTGAGGACATATTTCAAGTTTGGTCAACAAACATCCAAGAAGCCTCAAATGCCCTGATAATGCTTAAAATAATTCAAATCATGCCTCATAAACATTTTTAATACTGCGGTGGGGCAGGTCATACACAGTGAAAAGATCACAGCTTGCTCTCAGTTCTCATAAGAGATTTTCATTTAAATTTTATCTAAGTGGTCGAAAAATTCTGATGTAAAAAAAAAGTAGAAAGTATAATGACAAAATCCAATACTTTTTGTAGTGTTTTCAGAACTAAAAATATTTTCTTTTAGTTTTTCAGCCAATTTAGTTAGTGAGAAGGCAGGCATGTGATGAGTGGTCATAACACCGCTTCTTATAGTTAATTCTTTTGGTACAATCATCAGTCTTAAACTGGCACTTAGGAGGTGAATAAAAATGCCTTTAGTGACATCAGAGCTCATATCAGGATGTTTCATTCAGTTGCTTATGACAACTTCTTAATGTATCTTACTTTAGTCTACTCTGTAATTAATTGTTAGTGAGTATATGGGAGAACCTGGTAAAAATGGTACCTAGTGCAAGAGTAAACTCAAGATGACAAAATGACAAATGAAGATTACATTAATGCACGAAAACCTACAATTAATGACAAGTTGACCACACAGTTAGCTAGAGCGTACAAAACTACAAATCAAGACTGTATTTTGACTGAATCCAGACTGTAATTGCTGACCACCTCAGCACTTACCTCCAGTGCAACCAGTTCATAACCCAATTTCTTTACAGTTTTGACCCACTGCATCAGTTTTCTAACAGGAATGGAGGCATTAAGAAGTTCTAATGTCTATTTATAATTTAAAAATATACAAATATATTTTTAGCACAAATTCAGCATTTGTCAGTGGAACATATCACCATCAAAACATGAAAACTAAAGATTACAGTGCTTTAAAATAAGTTATTGATAAAATTTAAGAGGTTTAGAGCATATTGCCATTTAAAAATTGCTCTGGAATGAGTAGAGGTTGCTCAAGATTGCCTTAAACTTCTCAAGGTTTGTTAAAAATTAGCTGTATCAGTGTACCTAACTAGCAAAATTAAAAAAAAGTGTAAAATATTGACACAAACCTGCATGCATATCAGAAAAATCTATCCTGGAGCGTGGCAGAGGTACAATCCCAGGATCCGAGAACACAGCTCTGACATGTGCCATGATTGCCAGGAAGATGAGTGTGTTGAACACAACAACATGACATGGCGCCCATAGACTGCAAAAAATGTTATAATAAATGTTTTGCAATACATGAATATATGGCTAACAATATCACACTTTCACAGCAGCCATTGAACATAAATGTAGTTACTGATCCATGTGTGTTTGCGTATTTGTAGTCACATGATGCAAAGTCAAGTTTGACTGCAATCTGAGAACTGCATCAATGTTTAAACTGTTTTGGCACATTTCAGTGCATTGTTCAGATTGAGTAAATGATGATATAAATTCCTGTGTGCCTGGCATATCTTCCTGACCCAGAGATAACATATCTTCTATCTTATAAAAACTGGAAACTTGACTAAAGCTAAGTTAGTTAGCTGTGAATGAGACAAAACTGCCTAGGCTTGAGAACAGATACACCTATTCTAATGGACCTTGATCAATTTTTATGCTAATAATCAAGGAAACAATTGCATTGTCACTACATCTTTAAAATATACATAGCTTGTAAAATTACAATTTATACATATGATTTCTTTTTATTGGTTTCAATTTTTCTATGATTGGTATCTAATTTGAAAAACAAGTACATCTAATTTGGAATACTAAGCAGATGTTTCTTAAAATTGAAGGCATAAATGATCAGTTCATGGGTGATTTTTAAAAATTGCATGTAAAAACATGAGGTTTTTGTAATTTTTTACTGAAGAAATTGTGAAAGGGGTAAAAGGCCATAGGAACAGGTCAAATTAGCCAGATTAATGAGAATTTTTGTCTGATATTTCATGGGTGGCTACTGGCTAATGCCTAAATTTCCAGTTAAGGCTATAGCATAGAACCTTGAGGCATATTACTATTTCAATCTGATTACTGATATATTAGACAAGCATGGAAAACTTCTACCATTAGGGCCACAACTAGAGCTTTCCTGCTATATCCACAACCATACAATTTCTGCTAGATCAATTAACTCCTATCTAATTGTTAACAAAAGTGCAGGATCGGGCTGCAAGATTCCAAATGTATTAAAAATTTGTCCTATTGGAGCTGTAAGATTTTAGAAACAAGTAGGAAAATTTCAATCCTGAATTATTGGACAGAATTTTACAAAACCTGGGTGTTTAAACCATGTACCTAATAGATAGATCACAATTAACAAACATGGTTTTTTGTTAAAAGTTTTACCCTTTGCCTGATTTTTCAGTGTAGCTAGTTAGGGTAAATGCTGAATATACCAACATTGTGGGTAATTCCGACACTTCTTAACTTTTTTTTATTTATATTAAGCTTTGTCTTAATTCCACGCATTCATTGATGGTTGAAATAGTGACGTCATACTATTGCGCGCCATACTATTGCCACAACACTAGGTCTGGGCCATCTGGCTGGAAAATGTTGAGATCCAAAGAGAGACAGAGCAAGTCACCCAGTGAGAACATCAAAAAATGTGTCAAAGTTGATAGATGACCTTGTTCTACCAAATAGTGATAAACTGTTTGTGTAGAAAGAATATTATGGTTTGAGACTTTTAAATAAGTCTGTGAATATATTAGGAATCCTTTAAGTATACTTGTATTTGCTGACTTCAAGTGGTAAATAAATTAATAGATGATTAAGTTAAGAGACGGTTTTAGACACATAAAAACTAATTCCGACACAGCTTGGAATTAGACACACACAGCTCGTTCTAAGCTGTGTGCAAAAATTAAAATTTTCTTAATTAAAAGCTTAATATCTCTTTATTAAAAGCCTAATTAACTAGTGCTCAATATTCAATAGTGTTCTAATTCCAAGCTGTGTTGCATTCCTATTTACAAAACAGCTCACATAGCGATCGGAATTTGAATACACGAGGGTCGGAATTACAAATTTGTAGAGCTTGAAGCGCGGCCGGAATTAGTCTCGCAAAATGCCAAATTTAATCACACACACAGCGTCCGAGCGTCGAAATATACGGATTTGGTAGGTTTACACTCTAAAGGCTTTTAAACAAATATAGCAACAGTTTGTGTCGTGACATTTCATTGTTACTGGCGCGTAGTGCGATGTTTTGAGAGTAAAGTAAAGCAAACAGAACTCGAGCTGTGCATACGGTGATTTTTTTATAACCATTCATTTTTTGCTAGGGTAAACGCGGTATATTCCGTCACATTAAGGACGCATCGAGAAATGAAAAACTATACAAAAATAACCGTATGCGTTACTCAAGTTCTGTTTGCTTTATGTGACTCTCAAAACACCGCACTACGCGTCAGCAACGATGAAATGTCACAAAATGTTGCCATATTTATTTAAAAGCCTTTAGAATGCAAACCTACCAAATCCCTATATTCCGTCAGTGACCGTCACTGTGTGTGGCTATATTTGGCACGTGGTGAGGCGTATTCCGTCCGCGTTTCAAATTCTACTGATACGTACTGCCGTCAACCACGTGTTCGAATTCCGTTTGCTGTGTGAGCTGTATTGGAATACAACACGGCTTTGAATTAGAACACTAATGAATATTGAACACTACTTAATTACGCTTTTAATTAACAACTATTAAGCTTTTAATTAAGCAAATTTTAATTTTTGTACACAGCTTGGAACAATCTGTGTGTGTCCGTTTCAAGTTGTGACGGAATTAGCTTTCATGTGTCTAAATTCATTTCTCAACTTAATCATCTATTAATTTATTTACCACTTGAAATCAGCGATTACAAGTACATATACTTAAAGGATTCCTAATATATTCACAGACGTATTTAAAAGTCTCAAACCATAATATTCTTCCTATTCAAACAGTTATTCACTATTTGGTAGAGCAAGGTCAATTGTCAAATTTGACACATTTTTTGATGATTTCACTGGGTAGCGTGCATTGTCTCTCTTTGCATCTCAGTATTTTCTTGCTAGATGGCCAAGACCTAGTGTTTTGGCAGTAGTTTGATGCGCAAATGTATGACGTCACCTTTTCAACCATTGACAAACGCATGGAACTAAAACAAAGCTTAATATAAAGGAAAAACTAGAGAGGTGACGGAATTACCCACGATGTCGGAATATACCACCTTTACCCAATGTCCTTAATGTGTCGCAGTGTCGGAATATACCGCGTTTTCCCAACTGCGTTTACCCTAGTAAATTCAAATTTCAAAATGGACTATTATTGGTATATTGGCCACACTCAGGATGATGTATGTTTTCGGTGAATTTTCCCGCGCATTTTCACTTTTTTAAGCTATTGCTGTGCAGTGTGCACAGTTGGTGCATAGTGCAATGTAATGAAAATTGATTATCTTTGCGCACATGTTTGCGCAATCCCGGCCATCTTTATTTTAGAAGAAATTTTCTCCAAAGTCATATGGCAACACTGAACACCGTCTGTTTACATTTCGTATGGATAACAGCCGCAGTTTACAATTACCGTACGTTCCGTATCCGACAAGGCGGACAACCGGAAGAGTCAGAAGTAACCCGGACATGTCTTAGGGTAAACGCGGTATATTCCGACATTGTAGATAATTCCGTCACTTCTCTAGTTTTTCCTTTATATTAAGCTTTGTTTTAGTTCCATGCTTTCATTGATGATTGAAATGGTGACGTCATACATTTGCGTGTCGAAATACTGCCAAAACACTAGGTCTTGGCCATCTAGCGGGAAAATATTGAGATCCAAAGAGAGACAATGCATGCCACGTGGTGAGATCATCGAAAAATGTGTCAAATTTGACAGTTGACATGGCTCTACCAAATAGTGAATAACTGTTTTTATAGGAAGAATATTATGGTTTGAGACTTTTAAATACGTCTGTGAATATATTAGGAATCCTTTAAGTATACTTGTATTCGCTGATTTCAAGTCGTAAATAAATTAATAGATGATTAAGTTGAGATGTTGGATTTCGACACATGAAAACTAATTCCGACACAACTTGAATTGGACACACACAGATCGTTCAAAGCTTTGTACAAAAATTGAAATTTGCTTAATTAAAAGCCTAATAGCTGTTAATTAAAACGTAATTAAGTAGTGTTCAATATTCGTTAGTGTTCTAATTCAAAGCCGTGTTGTATCCCAATACAGCTCACACAGCAAACGGAATTCGAACACGTGGATGTCGGCAATACGTATCAGTTAAATTTGAAGCGCTGACGCAATACGACTCACCACGTGTCGGATGTTGCCACACAAAGTGACGGAATATAGGGATTTGGTAGGTTTCCATTCTAAAGGCTTTTTAATAAATATGGCAACATTTTGTGACGTTTCATCGTTGCTGATGCGTAGTGAAGTGTTTTGAAAGTCATGTGAAGGCAACAGAACTTACGTAACGCATACGTTTTTTTTATAGTTTTTCATTTCTTGATGCGTCCTTAAAGTGTCGGAATATACCGCGGGCCAATTCTATTGGGCCAAATTTTCCTCAAAACAATCACTTTCACTGGCACTTTTCAATAATAACAGGCAAAAATGTAAGAAAAAGAGAATAAAAGATAAATATTATCTACCTACTGTATCTTTCTTCCTAATTTGAGACCAATCAGCATTCAGCAGCAATATTTCAATGGATTGAATAGAATAGCAACAGTTAATAGTCAGTTATAATTAAGTAAATAGAAATAGGTAGTACCAGTGTAAAAGTTAGAACTGTATGTGTAGGCTGAGTACCTAGCTATAATTAAAATTTCCCTTTTTGGCTGAAAATCTTAGAATAGACCTATTAGGCTATTAGTAGCTTAGTTTTTGAATAGGTATTTGAAATCACTCATGACATTTTTGACATAGGACTCATTGTATAATAATAATGTTCTTGGTTTGACTTAGTAATCTCTTACGAAGAAAATTCGTATTGCATAGGTAGTATGGTTCATTAATTGGCATTATTATTTGTTACATACCTTCCCTGCATAGTTTGCAAAACAATCCAGTTAATGACTACATAATCACTATAAAATAATGCAACATAGGTTAAGATAACACAAACAATACCACAAGGGTCACTTCTAAAGATGGGCATTTCTATATCATAACATTCCTAAATTTCGTTATTAGCAACAAATTAATACTTTAGGCCGTGGCAGGACACAATTTCTAGGAGTCTCAGTTGTTCGGTGTTGTCCGCATTCCTGTGCATAGCTTTCTCGCGCATCAAGCGCTAAGGAGAGCGCAAAGAAGTTAGCGCATCGACACTTATGACACGGAATTTGGACCTGGATTTTGGGACGAAATTTCATCCGTACTTTGTTAGCAACCGTTCAACGCATCACATTGTCAAATTTGCTCATTTGGTTCTCATTAAAAATATATCTGTTCATTAGCAATACGCTCCTGCGGAGGTCGTCAAAATTTGTTTGTCCGGTCATTATTTCAAGTAGAGTATTATGGATGCAGCATCTCATGGGTGCAGCGTATAACGGATGAAGCGTATGATGGACGCAGCGTTTTATATAATTTAATAATATAATACAGCGGTTTCAGCGTTTATTAGGCCTGTCGCCGATTCTTAACATTGCAGAACATCTACACTATGTTGCGGGCTTGAAATCGCAACTCACTGCTTCAAATATTTGTTGCAAAACCGCTCGGCCTCCTTGCCGATTCTGACCAGAAACTGGCGTACTGAGCTTTGTTCGAATTCGCACCTCTCTGCTCCAATAATGATACTCTGAACTTTACCCACCGGACCATCCTGCCTGTAACCACTGGGCCACCCTGCCCTGTAACTACTGGATCACCCTGCCCAGTGTATCATGGATGCAGTGTCGAAGGAAGATAAATTTTGGAACAGAACTATGCTATCTGAAACCTAACCTCTAACGCTGGCACAAACTTTATTTGGCTTTGCCAGCGGAGGGATTAAGACGCATTTGGATTTCATGCTTTAATCGCACCTCAAAACGCAGTGGATCTGAAATAATTAACCATACAAAGGAATCAAAAACTAGATAAATATGATAGGAAATTAACAATATACCAAATATGATCATTGAGACAAATATGGCAATAAGGAAGAACTTCTTGAATTCATCACAAATTAACTTATATACATACGTATGTGCTTGGCCCTATTGGCTGAATCCTGAGTAGAAGATTTTCCACAATTGAATTTCCAGTCCCTAATACGATCTACGATCTAAGCGTGAAAGTTTTACAAACACATTGAATGATATCAGCGTGCTAAACGAATGACAAAATAAATGAACGTGAATAAACATATAACAGTCATGATATTTCTCAAATAATATTTCAATATTTCAAAGTAGCAAATTTAGAATACTGAAAAAAGGCATAACACCGAATAACCTAGTCATCGTGCGTCGAGATAAGGAACTGACGAGAGAGACGTAGCGGGCGCTAGCGGCTAATAAACGGTTCCTAGAAGGTTGCCACTAGGTGCAAGAAGAAAAATACACATAAAGAGAACTTAATACTAGACAGGAAAATAAATCCTGTTGCACAGGACACTCCCCGCTCGGCGTTTCACGGCTGGGCCCCTTTGGGCAATGCTGACCTCTACAATGCATCCCTAATACGAGGGGTGCATGTTACAGGTTAGTATTGCCCTATCTCTGAGGCTGTATTAAATTATTAGGGATGCAGCTGTGATCCACATATTTCAGTCTAATATAAGCCATGGACTTAACGCTCAGCCTCAGCATTCAATAACTTCTCTCAGCCTCTGAGATAGAAGCCGCAGTCTGCGCTGTAACCCCGTAATCAGCACCAGTGATACACTGCTTAATGATAATAGCGCCGTAGGTCTTCAGCCAAAACTCTAGCATGCTCGCTCATGAGCAAGCTCGCTCATAGCATGCTCCGGCCTCACCTACTATTGATATTCTGGCCCAACCTATTAACGCTGCCCCGACTCACAACCTTCTTGCAGCCAACAACTGGCTCTACCTTAGCACTTGCCACTCCTCTCTAACGTCCAGCAGCCAATGGGTGCGCAGCCGTGCACCTACAATTTTGTACACCAATAAACCTGAATCGAACGCCTTTGATCTCTCCGGACATCCACCAATCGCCGTGAACCACTCGGCTATGTCCTCCTCCGGCCTTGCATAAAACCTGCCGTGCACCACCAGGCCGCGGATCGAATATGACTTCCGGGCATCGTTAAATTACGTAATTTTACGTTCATCGCATCTGAGGTTAGGTTTCAGATAGCATAGTTCTGTTCCAAAATTTATCGTCCTTCGACGAGTGCCCGTTCGACCGAGGGCTTGATATGATTGCCTAGAAGGCCTAGGCTTGATATGATTGCCTAGAAGGCCTAGGCGTTCGGCCTAGATATCGTTGTCCAGAAGTGTTGAAGGCTACGTTCCGGAAGGCAGGAATCATGATGGTCCATTACATCCAGGGTAGTGGTGGTCTTCGGCGAGTGACCCCAGCCAATGAAGTTCGTTTTGAGTGGTGAAATGAGCGCGAAACGTTCGATCATGTTCGTTTTGCGTGGCGAAATGTTGCAACGTGAGTAGACTTTAGCTTAGGCCAGAATAGGTTGGTCGGGAATAGGTTTTGCCCGATGCAGCATGACCACGCTTCACGTGGGCATGCTTACGCCTTGGCTATGGACATACGGCGTTATGGCTTTAAAACTAAATTTAATTAATAGGCTGCGATTCACTCTGGCTTTCTTACCCACGGAAAAAAATGTGATCAAAGTGTGAAGTTGGGCAGAGCTGGCCTCCGGCAAGCGTCCCAACTTATTGCATGCTGAGGCTAAGCGTTGGCTCCATAGCTTATTCAAGAGTTACATTTGTTATTCACTGCTGCGCCCCCGCAAACATTAGTAAGGCAGAAAATTTCGCGTTGGAATCCAGATCAATATTAGAGCCAAAGTCCAAAGTCTAGAAGCGCAGTCTAGAAGTGTCCATGAAATTAAAATTAACTCTTCTCAAATCATTCTAATAAATTTCTACAGCGCTTTTTTCATGTAGAGTATGGGTCAATTTCCTCATATGTGGTATAAAATAACGTGAGTAGTTGACTTGTTTGTGCTAAAACATAGTGATATTAAAATTTTTCATTGTAAAAAATCCATAAAGAGCGCTAAGTTTATGGAATTTTGTTAAATTTTAGACATCTGTTTTTTCTAAAAACGAAATCGGAGGTGTTTCATCCATTTCTCACTACACCACAGTGCAGAACGGACGGACTCGGGAACGTGTTGGTAAACAAACTTGAATTATTGTAGGTCCTCACAAAACGTGGCCGCATTTGATTCACAGATAGCTACTGTGAGTGCATTACATTTCTCGGCCATGCAAGAATGAAATTGCAACCTCAACCAGTTAGACCATAAATACTCAGCATTTTTCTTTTCTCATTCATCATATTAAACGTAATCGTGAATCATGGGAGTTCCAGCATTCTTCCGGTGGTTATCAAGGAAGTACCCATCAGTGATCATTGAATGTGTGGAAGAGAAGGTAATTTGTTAGGTTTTAATCTGTATATATATTACACAATTTCAAAAGCAGCCTCAATAGGATAGCTGATAGCACTCTGTTTTCTATCAATATTTAATCATATGTTTACTAGTGATTACTTACTGTTGTAACTGATCTAGCTCAAAATTTTCTAATAAAATCTCATTGCTCTAAAAATTTAATTACTGATTAATTTAGATAAATTTGACATCTCAAGAGATTTATAAATTCTTATATGTTTCTGAAATATTACACTTCCATAATTATATTAGGTATACATTATTACATTAGCTACCTATCATTTTGTTGTTTTGATGTGTAAAAATCTTGTGGCTCCAAAGTTGGTATATTATATTTTGGTTATATTGAAAATATCAAAGCTTGCATAATGAAAATCAAGAAAGAATTTTNCATATTTATTTGTTACATACCTTCCCTGCATAGTTTGCAATACAATCCAGTTAATGACTACATAATCACTATAAAATAATGCAACATAGGTTAAGATAACACAAACAATACCACAAGGGTCACTTCTAAAGATGGGCATTTCTATATCATAACATTCCTAAATTTCGTTATTAGCAACAAATTAATACTTTAGGCCGTGGCAGGACACAATTTCTAGGAGTCTCAGTTGATTCGGTATTGTCCGCATTCCTGTGCATAGCGAAATTTCATCTGTACTTTGTTAGCAATCGTTCAACGCTTCACATTGTCAAATTTGCTTCTCATTAAAAAATAGCTGTTCATTAGCAATACGCTCCTGCGGAGGTCGTCAAAATTTGTTTGTCCGGTCATTATTTCAAGTAGAGTAATATGGATGCAGCATCTCATGGGTGCAGCGTATAACGGATGAAGCGTATGATGGACGCAGCGTTTTATATAATATAATAATATAATACAGCGGTTTCAGCGTTTATTAGGCCGTAGGCCTGTCGCCGCTTCTTAACATTGCAGAACATCTACAATATGTTGCGGGCTTAAATCGCAACTCACTGCTTCAAATATATTTTGCATAACCGCCCGGCCTCCTTGCCGATTCTGACCAGAAACTGGTGTACAGAGCTTTGATCGAACCCGCAACTCTCTGCTCCAACAATGGTACTCGTACTCTGAACTTTACCCACCGGGCCAACCTGCCCGTAACCACTGGGCCATCCTGCCCTGTAGCTGCTGGGCCATCCTGCTCTGTAACTACTGGATCACCCTGCCCAGTGTAACATGGATGCAGTGTATCATGGAAGCAGTGGCCAGTGTATCATGGATGAAGCATATCATGAACTGGGTGTATCATGGATTTAGCGTATCATCAATGCAGCGTACCATTGGTAAGTGGCTTGCAGGATCGCGAAGGCAATTACTGTTCAAACTGGCATCATTATACTGCGTAGTACATTGCGATCGGCGTGATATATCGTGGCAACTGCTTCCATCATCACCGGCGTTGATCCGGGAAGGCGCTGGAAACTCGGAGAAGTCATGCAGTCTAAACCACCACTCTGACAGTTCTGACCTGGAATTTGGGAGTGCGCAGCCGTTGGCCACATAATTAACTCCTAAAATCAGACATGTAGCAAACACTCAGCATAAACATGCATATCTACTCTCTGCATGAAATCGCAGGTGCGCATGCCCGAGGATAGCTTTGGTTCATATTCTAGCTAACCTGTCACTTGGTTCATATTCTTTTCCGTGGGCAAGCACGTTATAGGGCAAAGCTAGGGGGCGCATACCGGAGGCCAGCTTTGCCAAGCTTCACATTTAGTTAATTTTCCTTTCCCTAAAGGTAAGAACGCTAGAGGGCATAACAGCCTATGAAGTCTAGTGCTCAAAGCCATGGGACCGGATGTCCACATACACAAATACGCTTGCTAAAGGTAACCATGGGCATACTGCATCTGCCCAACCCTCTTCCGGGCTAGCCTCTTTAGACTTAACCTACACAAGTTGCAACATTTCTCCACCCGAAACAATCCTGAGCGGGCCTAACCTAACCTCATTGGATGCAGGAAGTTAGAGGAGCAGTCCAAGTGTGCTAGTAGAGCCAGTCATTGGCTGCAAGAAGGTTTTGAGCCTGAACATAACATAACATAGTGATCTCGGCGCTGAAGTGTAGGCCTGATGTGGCCTGTCGCCGATTCTTTTCCTTTTCGTGCCTTGTTCACAGAAGATCTAAAATCGTGTCATTTTACCTGATCTTTTCTTGACTGACGATAGTTTGAAGTAGCTTATCGCTTTTAATTTCATAAAATAATGCGTGGAAAACGTGCCATGAAAATTTGTCATGTAAGTTTATCTTAAAAATTTTTTCACAAAGTGTCGGATCGATATATCATTTGCAAAAAACCCCTCAACACAGTGTTTGCTCTAAATCAGGAATTGAATCAAAAGCGGAATCCGGAAGGGAAATCCGGATATGCAAGCACTTGAACGTCTCCTCCTATGACAAACGCGCCAGTTATTTCTTTTCTGAACGAGAGAACGTAAGCTAAATATGAACTTGAAGTCCGAATGGCCAATCATAGCTCAATGCGTGTTGTCGATATACATGTTGCCAGCTGCAGCCAGCCAGCAGTGCGTTTTGAACTGTCGCCGCGTATGGTTGTTGATGCATGTGCTTCCAGTCATGCACTGTCATCTGCCTCGATTCTACTAGCGTATGAGTCAGAGGTGTCTGGTGCATAAAAACTTAGATTTTTTGTTAACTGATTTTAATGAATTGTATTATGATTGTTTAACATTCGCATTCATAAATTTAGTCTGCAATGCATAGGCTTAATTTGCGTCCAGAAATGGGATGTTTACCCTAAAATTAAACGTGTTCTTGATTGCCACTATGAGCGTTGCCAATAGCAATATATGGGTTTTTAAGCCCAAAGTGTCGCCAACCATTTTCAAGATGCGTCACCGCGTAATTTTTAATGAAAAGCCATTTATGCTGAGTAATGAAAAACTATTTACAAGCCACAAACTTATTTACAAGGTTGCATGCATGTATTACCCCAAATAACTAATTTTACCCTAAAAACAGTCTGATCGTACAGCAAATGTCAGCTGAACATGTGATAATGCAGTCTGACCGCTCTAATGTGACTGCAACTAGTACGCAATCATAAACTTGTTGACCTTTTCTTGGTGGGAACTCCTCGCAACTGATTTCCGGACAAGCTTCACCTTCACTGCTTCCTGATCCATCCAACGTACCGGAAACCTTACTTTTTTTCTAAATAGTTGGCCGAAGACTGACAAATATATTAAATGCAAGAATTTCAATCCAAATGTGTCAGCATGATCTTCTGAAGGCGTAAATTTTGCTACTGAAGCATCACCAAAGATCTTGCAGTATTCATCCACTCTCTGCACAGTGGGTCACCATAAATTGCTGGCTCCTGCCTCTCATAGTCTTTATGTAATTTAAAAAAAAGTGATGGTCTTTGTTACCCTTTTCTTTTTTGTGGAGGTGTTTATGCAAAACCCGGCCAATGATTCCACGCCACATAAAAGTCTGCGCATGACAAAAAGACATAGTTTCATGCCCAGTGCTAATTGGTCAAAATTCCTCTTCATGTAGAGATGCTGCTTCATGCCCAGCGCTAATTGGTCAAAGTCTCAAGGAAGTCTGTCCAATGATATGGTGTTTTTAGTAGGTATTGTCTGATATAAAAGATACTAAGCACTCCAGACTCCAAAGTGCTCTGAAAGATCTGTGGCTTGTCCAAACTCCAAAGCAAAAGTTCACCAATGAATTTCCCATGAACAAAATTCAGAAGAAATGCTTGTGAACTGTTTTAATTGCATTATTACAAAATAATCAATTTAACTTATAAACATAGTTAGTATCACTCTGCTCATCTATAGGTGTGAAATTGATGTTAGGAGATCTTAAAATGCAATTAATATTTATCAGGAAGAAAGCAGGAAGCATACTTTTGTCACTTGGCAGCCAAACAAACTAGCGACAGCTGGTGCCTGGAAGGCAAATAGTCCAATAACTCCAATAATACAGAAGTAGGTACACTGTTAGAAAAATGACCGTTAACGGTATTACCGGCGTTTCAGTGGCCGGTCGGCACGTGAAAAGAAACACCGTTTCACCGTTTTTATCCCAATTTAACACCAGAAATCCGTAAAACATCTGATAAAAACGGCGAAACAGTTTATTTTCACAGGGCGACCAGCCACTAGGATGCCGGTGGGACCACTTTTTCACCGTTTTTTTTCTAACAGTGTATAAATAGATTTATTTTTGTACATCCCTGAATTAACAGAAAATTTATTACGACTAAAAATAATACCATGAAGAGTTGATATGCGATTTGGCTATACTATTTAATGATACCAATGAATTCTTATTATATTATTACAAATTTATATCCAATGTAATGAGACACACATTCATTTGAAATATTGCAAGTCATGCCGTAATGACGTTAATACATTTTAATGACATCTACAGTACCCTAGCAGCCCTCTGCTAGGTACTGATAATTTAGCCTTTTCCTTGACCATTAGTTCTGTGAATATTTCCCATGTGGACTTATGATGGCCCTGTAGACTTGCAATGGCCGTGCAGGCTTATGATGGCATGTGGACTTATGATGGCCTGTAGCCCCTGTTTTTTTGGAGCTGCCAGTCTGCAGCTCCCCACATGTGGGTGGCATTTTTGTTGTTATTAGCAGGGGCTGTCAAGGAAAATCCTGACCCAACTTAGATGTGTGACATGTGCATTAGACAAAGCACAAAATGCCAATACTCCTTTCTCTGTAATAGCCTTGCCATACCAACACATTGGTATGGCAAGAACCATGAAAACTGCACAAACTTACAACTCCATCAATATACAAATTCCTAGACATGGTACCAACCCACTCTGCCAATCCCTCTGTGTGGACTTATGATGGCCATGTGGACTTATGATGGCCACATGGACTTATGATGGCTATGTGGACTTATGATGGCCGTGTGGACTTATGATGGCCATGTGGACTTATGATGGCCATATGGACTTATGATGGCCGTGTGGACTTATGATGGCCGTGTGGACTTATGATGGCCGTGTGGACTTGTGATGGCCATGTGAACTTATGGTGGCCATGTGGACTTATGGTGGCCGTGTGGACTTATGATGGCCATGTGGACTTATGATGGCCGTGTGGACTTATGATGGCCATGTGGACTTATGATGGCCGTGTGGACTTATGATGGCCGTATGGACTTAGATGGCCGCATGGACTTATGATGGCCGTGTGGACTTATGATGGCCGTTGTGTAATATAGACAAATCACAAAATGCCAATACTCCTTTCTCTGTAATAGCCTTGCCATACCAACACATTGGGTCCATAAAAACTGCACAAACTAACAACTCCATCAATATACAAATTCCTGGACAGGTTACCAACCCACTCTGCCAATCCCTCTGTGTGGACTTATGATGGCCGTGGTGACTTATGATGGCCATGTGAATGGCCGCGTAACTTATGATGGCCGTGTAGACTTATGAAGGCCTTGTGGTAATACTAGTAATACTGTTGAGAACGAACAATAACCTTGTTTGTTCTGTAGATTAAGTTACAGACTCAGGAAAAGTCAGTAGACCCATTACCAAACTGTAGAGAGCTAGTCTACTCATATCCGACCGCCACACTATGCTGATATATGCTCGTGTGTGAGTCACGCATATATGCTTAAACTGTTTTGGGAGCATGGTGCATTTTTTTACCGGCATGATCCGGGCCTATACTTTAAAAAAAAGTTAAGAGATCAGAAGTTCATCAGCCAATCATTGACAGCCGTTGTAGCAATATCCACCAATCATAGACAAGAAAATAGAGCGTAAGTACTTACGTTCACTTAGCGAGTTATGAAAGTATGGCCCCAATGCACCGCGCGGATTGATAAAATAACGATATAAATTCCCGCGCACTTTGCACATCTAAGCGTGGGCTACCAGTCATGGTGCAATTCTAGGATTAGCAGTACTTATTGGTCTCGGCAGGCAAAGGGCGCCTGGGCCTATACCGGTACTTAAAAAAAAGTTTAGAGATCGTATGTTTATCAGCCAATCATTGACGGCCTTTCAAGCAAAATCCACCAATCACAGACAAGAAAATAGAGCGTAAGTACTTACTTTCACTTAGCCAGTTTTGAAAGTATGGCCCCTGGTCTTGGTCACCCTTCCCTTGTGGGCAGGACAGGAGACAGGACTTCTGAAGTTCTGAGTTCTGACCAACCCAAGTTAGGAATTCAAATATTTTAATTTTTGATCAATTTACCCAAAATTCTTATATTACATGTAAAGTTACTTTAAATAAATAATATAGGTAACATTTAATTTTTGGGATTTCATTTTTAGAATGAAATATAACTTTACAAGTGTCAATGTCAAAGTACTAGAGCGGTCAGTGCAAGTTGCCATTTTCTTCAAGTTGGCTGAGAAGCATAATGCCACTTCCAATTTTAAATAAATAATGTAACTCCTGTGAATTTCTTGTCATTAGTGCCTTTTGGCAATTGACCACATAACTCCATGCCAGAGAAAGTAGTATGGCTGCAAAATACCCTACCTATAGATCAAAATAAACTTTACGCAACAAATCCAGTATTTTTTGTGCTTTTAATTGTAAATAAGTGACTGGAAGTACTAAGTTAACTGCTGCTTTGGTTTGCAGGCCTTTGTTGATGAAAATGGGCAGTCTGTTCCTATTGACATCTCGAAGCCCAATCCTAATGGCGTGGAGTTTGACAACCTCTACCTGGACATGAATGGCATCATCCATCCCTGCACTCACCCTGAGGATAAACCTGCTCCCAAGAATGAAGATGAGATGATGGTCGCCATATTTGAGGTAGGAACTTGTATAAATTTGCTTATTGCTACTACCGGTATTGTTATTTCTCATTTGCGTCTAGTCTAGGCTAAGCTAGGGATCTGTGAACAAGAGCTGGTAATTTTTAGAAGATTTGCGAATCGAACACACATAAATAATCAGTAATTATTATAGTACAATTGTTGTGAACTAATGAACGCACCCGTAAATTTAAGTCATTCATGCTGCTGTAAGGGATTTTTTTCTGATATTATCAAGTAAAATCGGGTTTTTCTTCTTGTTGGCTGTTGCGTAACCGACAAACTCACTTCAAAGTGATGTCATTAGTCCTGCTGTGTGGTCTTTTTCTCTGTATGAAGTATGTAATATCTGACTTCCCTACTTACGTGGCAGAACATAGACCGGCTGATGGGCATAGTGCGGCCGAGGAAGCTGCTGTACATGGCTATAGACGGCGTGGCGCCTCGGGCTAAAATGAACCAGCAGCGCTCACGGCGCTTCAGGGCCAGCAAGGAGACCGCCGAGAGGATCAATGAAGTCGCCAAGATTAGACAAGAACTCATTGAAAAAGGTACCTTTAACTTACAAGCTTGACCTTGAGTTTAGGGAGATCATTAGTATTATTGGCTATTAACTTCGACTTGTGCTACAAGACTATCATTTTTTTCTGTTCCTGATCAATGCTGTAAAATTTAAGTCTGTTTCAATTCATCAGATTATTGCTGGTTTCAGTTGCAGCCCAAGCACACAGCATATTTTCCCGTCATGCTGGTAATGTGGCCGGTATCAAGTGTCTTGTATAGTTTAGTTATCCATTGCTTTATTTGTTCCTAATAATTTTAAAGGATGTTCTGGTATGTTTTTATAGGGTTTAAAGTACCTCCTGTGAAGCCGAAAGAAGATCACTTCGACTCTAACTGCATCACGCCGGGCACACCCTTCATGGACCGCCTCAGCAAGTGCCTGCATTACTATGTACACGAGCGTCTCAACAACCATCCCAGCTGGAAAAACATCAAGGTATTCCCTTCACAAATGTTGCGCAAGTTTATTAATATTTTTAGTTACTGTTGCTGTACGTTATGCTGAACCAAGCTTGTTTGATGTTGAGTGAAATGTGCAATAATAGGTATATACTGTGCACTGCTTCTACTGTACATTGCTGCTGCTGTACACTGCTGCTGCTGTACACTGCTGCTGCTGTACACTGCTGCTGCTGCTGTACACTGCTGCTGCTGTCACTGCTGCTGCTGCTGCTTTACACTGCTGCTGCTGCTGTACACTGCTGCTGCTGCTGTACACTGCTGCTGCTGCTGCTGCTATACACTGCTGCTGTACACTGCTGCTACTGTACACTGCTACTGCTTCTGTACACTGCAGCTGTACAGCACTGCAGTACACTGTAAGACCCCTGGCGTGCCCCTAACGCCTTGTCAGGTGATCTTGTCAGACGCGAACTGTCCCGGTGAAGGCGAGCACAAGATCATGGACTTCATCAGACGACAGCGCGCGTCTCCTGACCACGACCCCAACACACAACACGTGCTGTGTGGTGCTGACGCTGACCTCATCATGCTGGGGCTTGCCACCCACGAGCCTTACTTCACCATCATCAGGGAGGAGTTCAAACCTAACAAGGACAAACCCTGCGAGATCTGCGGCATAGGAGGTGAGATCCCGAGCGCTAGTTGCTCGGTATCCTTATAAGGACTTGTAGCGTTCCAAGCACTCTTTAATTAATGAGGGCTGGTGTATGGAGCGTTCAAAGCAGACTTTAATTAATGAGGGCTGGTGTATGGAGCGTTCAAAGCAGACTTTAATTAATGAGGGCTGGTGTATGGAGCGTTCAAAGCAGACTTTAATTAATGAGGGCTGGTGTATGGAGCGTTCAAAGCAGACTTTAATTAATGAGGGCTGGTGTATGGAGCGTTCAAAGCAGACTTTAATTAATGAGGGCTGGTGTATGGAGCGTTCAAAGCAGACTTTAATTAATGAGGGCTGGTGTATGGAGCGTTCAAAGCAGACTTTAATTAATGAGGGCTGGTGTATGGAGCGTTCAAAGCAGACTTTAATTAATGAGGGCTGGTGTATGGAGCGTTCAAAGCAGACTTTAATTAATGAGGGCTGGTGTATGGAGCGTTCAAAGCAGACTTTAATTAATGAGGGCTGGTGTATGGAGCGTTCAAAGCAGACTTTAATTAATGAGGGCTGGTGTATGGAGCGTTCAAAGCAGACTTTAATTAATGAGGGCTGGTGTATGGAGCGTTCAAAGCAGACTTTAATTAATGAGGGCTGGTGTATGGAGCGTTCAAAGCAGACTTTAATTAATGAGGGCTGGTGTATGGAGCGTTCAAAGCAGACTTTAATTAATGAGGGCTGGTGTATAGAGCGTTCAAAGGCAGACTGTAATTAATGAGGGCTGGTGTATGGAGCGTTCAAAGCAGACTGTAATTAATGAGGTCTGGTGTATGGAGCGTTCAAAGGCAGACTGTAATTAATGAGAGCTGGTGTATGGAGCGTTCAGAGCTGACTTTAATTAATGAGGGCTGGTGTATGGAGCGTTCAAAGCAGACTTTAATTAATGAGGGCTGGTGTATGGAGCGTTCAAAGCAGACTTTAATTAATGAGGGCTGGTGTATGGAGCGTTCAAAGCAGACTTTAATTAATGAGGGCTGGTGTATGGAGCGTTCAAAGCAGACTTTAATTAATGAGGGCTGGTGTATGGAGCGTTCAAAGCAGACTTTAATTAATGAGGGCTGGTGTATGGAGCGTTCAAAGCAGACTTTAATTAATGAGGGCTGGTGTATGGAGCGTTCAAAGCAGACTTTAATTAATGAGGGCTGGTGTATGGAGCGTTCAAAGCAGACTTTAATTAATGAGGGCTGGTGTATGGAGCGTTCAAAGCAGACTTTAATTAATGAGGGCTGGTGTATGGAGCGTTCAAAGCAGACTTTAATTAATGAGGGCTGGTGTATGGAGCGTTCAAAGCAGACTTTAATTAATGAGGGCTGGTGTATGGAGCGTTCAAAGCAGACTTTAATTAATGAGGGCTGGTGTATGGAGCGTTCAAAGCAGACTTTAATTAATGAGGGCTGGTGTATGGAGCGTTCAAAGCAGACTTTAATTAATGAGGGCTGGTGTATGGAGCGTTCAAAGCAGACTTTAATTAATGAGGGCTGGTGTATGGAGCGTTCAAAGCAGACTTTAATTAATGAGGGCTGGTGTATGGAGCGTTCAAAGCAGACTTTAATTAATGAGGGCTGGTGTATGGAGCGTTCAAAGCAGACTTTAATTAATGAGGGCTGGTGTATGGAGCGTTCAAAGCAGACTTTAATTAATGAGGGCTGGTGTATGGAGCGTTCAAAGCAGACTTTAATTAATGAGGGCTGGTGTATGGAGCGTTCAAAGCAGACTTTAATTAATGAGGGCTGGTGTATGGAGCGTTCAAAGCAGACTTTAATTAATGAGGGCTGGNCACACACACGAGGTACAGTCACACCACGCACTAGTTACAGTCACATCACACACACACGAGTTACAGTCACACCACGCACTAGTTACAGTCACATCACACACACACGAGGTACAGTCACACCACGCACTAGTCACAGTCACACCACACACTAGTTACAGTCACACACTAGTTACAGTCACGTCTGACGCAGGTCACGAGCTGAAGGACTGTGAAGGCACCCTCAGTCACACCACACACTAGTTACAGTCACACCACACACTAGTTACAGTCACACCACACACTAGTTACAGTCACACCACACACTAGGTAAAGTCACACCATACACTAGGTACAGTCACACACTAGTCACGCCATGTCTGACGCAGGTCACGAACTGAAGGACTGCGAAGGCACCCCTGACGGCAAGCTGGTGGAGGCAGAGAAGGTGTACGCGGAGGTGAACTTCATCTTCGTGCGGTTGTTTGTGCTGCGCGAGTACCTGGAGAAGGAGCTGCTAATGAACAACCTGCCCTTCACTTATGACTTCGAGCGAGCCATCGATGACTGGGTCTTCATGTGCTTCTTCGTCGGTTCGTTATTGTCTGCTTTAATTGCCCCCCTTATATGCTTCGTGCTGTTAGTCTTATTATGATGCATTCTGAGACCATATTTTACTAAGTGCCGGTCTTGGCTGATAACTTTATATTTCCTCAGTGAAAAGAATTAATTGTCAGTGAAAACTTACTGATAAGTATTAATTGTCACCTAATAAGTGATAAGTAGCGGTCAGTAGCAGTAACTAGTAAGTAGTAGTAATTATTAGTAGCACTGTTAGTAACAGTGATAAGTATTAATTGTCACCTAATCTTCCTTTTATAGCAGTCGTGCTGAAAGATTAAACAATTGATTACAGTGATATTTATCAATATATTATCCAACTACCATTTGATTTTTTGGCACTAGACTTGATAATGGCAATTATTTGTATTTCTGGCACTAGACTTGATAATGGCAATTATTTATATTTCTGGCACTAGACTTGATAATGGCAATTATTTATATTTCTGGCACTAGACTTGATAATGGCAATTATTTATATTTCTGGCACTAGACTTGATAATGGCAATTATTTATATTTCTGGCACTAGACTTGATAATGGCAATTATTTATATTTCTGGCACTAGACTTGATAATGGCAATTATTTATATTTCTGGCACTAGACTTGATAATGGCAATTATTTATATTTCTGGCACTAGACTTGATAATGGCAATTATTTATATTTCTGGCACTAGACTTGATAATGGCAATTATTTATATTTCTGGCACTAGACTTGATAATGGCAATTATTTATATTTCTGGCACTAGACTTGATAATGGCAATTATTTATATTTCTGGCACTAGACTTGATAATGGCAATNTCTTGCCCTCTCTCTTGCCCTCTCTCTTGCCCTCAACTTACAGCTTGCGTCTCTCTTGCCCTCTTACGTCTTGGCCGTGCCCTCTGTCACGTGAAGTAATGACTTATCCATCACATGTGTCGGAAATGTCACGACCAGCGCTGTTAATCGTGTGGTCTCGTTTAAGCGACTAATCATTCTCAGCGGCCCGATTTATGAGCGCGACAGTCGTTCGCATATTTTCTTTCTTCATACAGTATTAATCCTCGCAGCTGAAATTAAACGTGAGCTTCCATGAACTCGCTCACGATTGAGCCACCAGATATCACGGGCGTGGCTGAACGCGGTTACCGTATGGTGGTCAGTAAGCACATGCCCCTAGATATAGGTAGGTACCTCCGGTGCTGCGGTTCACTGTTTTTTCCAGCTAGTATCATGGAGTGACGGCCCTCTTATATAATGACAACGTGGCGGCCTTCCTGCCGTCTGATGGATGACTGCGCGCTGGTTGACATGGCACCTGTGCAAGCAGGCTATGCGTCTTGTGCGTGCTTGCTGCTCGTGTATTGTCTATTACGATCCTATTATATTATCTCTTGTGTTCTTTGTTCTCATCAACTGCTGACATGGATAACGGATATCAGAAAATGTTATTGCTGGTCGTGCTGGGCATAACCTCTCATTGTGGTGCAGGGCTAATGACATCGTACCGTGCAGGGCTAATGATATCGTACCGTGCAGGGCTAATGATATCACCATTAATCTCATGCGTGACGTGCCCTCGAAGTTCGTTTGAAGCAGACGTCACGATTAATACTTTGAATAAATATTAATAATAGTACCTAATTACTTCGTACCTTGCAGGACAAATGACTTGGTACCGTGCAGGGCTGGCTGACGGACAGCGGGCGCGTGAACATGTCAAAGTTCTTTTGACCAGACGCCACGATAAATCCTTTGACTAATACTAATAGTGATAATAGTAATAATGACTTGGTACCGAGCAGGGCTAATGATATCACCATTAATCTTATGCGTGACGTGCAGGGCTGGCTGACGGACAGCGGGCGCGTGAACATGAAGCGCGTGCAGATCATCATGACGAACCTGGGCGAGGTGGAGGACCAGATCTTCAGGGACCGGCAGCAGCGCGAGGTTGCCTTCAAGAGGCGCAACAAGCAGCGCGCTGCTATGTCCCTGCAGTGCTGGTCCATACGGTCGGGGCGGGTGGCGGGGCGGCGGTGGTGGTGGCGGCGGCGTGAAGCGCTCATCAGACGCGATGGACAGCGACTCTGACGAAGAACCTAACGACGAGGTGCGCCTCTACGAGGAGGGCTTCAAGGACCGCTACTACGAGAGCAAGTTTGAGGTCACGGCCGACGACCTCGCCTTCAGGGAGCTCGTCGCTAATGAATACGCCATAGGGCTCTGCTGGGTCCTCAGGTGGGCGGCGGGGGCGGTGCTGTATGGACTGCCGAGGTCGGGCGTGTTGTTAGTGGTCTGGTGTGTGTGCGTGGTCTGGTGTGTGTGCGTGGTCTGGTGTGCTGTACGTGGTCGTGTGCGTGTACGTGGTCGTGTGCGTGTACGTGGTCTGATGCGTGTGCGTGGTTTATATATGTGAAGCGTCAGGGAAAGCACTGCAATATCTCATTACTAGCTTGGAACATCCCCGCTACAGTACAATATATTACCTTAATTATATAATAAACTGCATACGTAAGTATTGTAGTTACCATGAACTTGTATCACATGGGGGGGGGGAAATCTCAATATGGAAATAGAGTGAATATAAACATGGACGGAAGGATAGGACTAGTTCGTCAACATGTCTTTGTTCATCCCGCTCTATTTTTCTAATTCCTGCTTGAATGCAATTCACTCCGTTTAACCTTCAATTCCTTTAACCAATGCTGATGTTCATGTATACTGACCTGTACTTACTGGGGTTCTCCATCAAAATTTCCCTCGACCTTCCCTACATGATATGATGTGAACTGGTCAACCAAAACCAATATCAAGCACGACATCCTCACTAAACTCCTTAAAGACCTATATAAAGTGATATAACAAGCGTGCATTTCATGCTACCTGTATGTTGGTGCCCTGGTATAGTTACTTGGTTAAGGCCTCTAGGTTCTTTATCCGTGAACCCTGACACGAAACCCTTGCGAGATGAATTTTTCGATAGAAGCAGCATCAGGAAAGCTCTGCGCCGATTGTAAAAGTCTTCAGTATAGACTGGAATTAGGCAACGACTACTTGTATTGTATTCGAGCCTCGACACAGCTGAACAGAGAGACTCTAGTTTGACAGTAATATCTCCCATGCAGGTACTACTACCAAGGCTGTGCATCCTGGGGCTGGTATTTCCCCTACCACTACGCGCCTTTTGCTTCAGACTTCAAGAACTGCGGCAACGCTAAAGTGAGTCTCGCTAAATCACATTTTGCGCCTCGTGATTTGGTAATACTGTTGCATTAACCACTTCATCATATAACGATCTAAAGCTCCTCCGTTTAACTTTTGGGGCAAGATTTTTTTTTATTTTGTTCCAAAGCCTTTTGAACGGTATTGTGATATTCCATGCCTGTCATATTGTTGGGCTAGTTGACATTTTTAAAATGAAAAATGTGTGTTAGTTCAAATACATATCTTTCTAATGCATCGGCAAGACCTGTTTCGCTGGTTGGCTGAAACATTGTTGAGGTGGCGATGAGAACGAATAGCGGTCTTCTTCGATACCACAACATACTATTACCTGCCTCAGAGTACGAAGTTGCCTGTCATATTGTTGGTCTAGTTGACATTTTCTAAATGAAAAATGTGTGTTTGTTCAAATACATATCTTTCTAATGCATCGGCAAGACCTGTTTTGCTGTTTGGCTGAAACATTGTTGAATTGGCGATGTGAACGAACAGCGGTCTTGTTCGATACCACAACATATTACCTGCCTCAGAGTACGAAGTGCTGAGCTAATTTGTCATCATGTACACTTAAGTGTATCGTATCACTGGATTGTAGTGAAGCCTTGAGGCAAAGTGTGCAAAGCAACCAAAAGAGGAAAAAATTGACAAAAGCTGGAAGAGATCACCGTAATGATCCGTAATCTGTTTCGAGCCTCCTCCGAAAATGTGCTTCAAAATAAGAGCATGAAGAGAGCACCATAAGATGGATTTGTTTCACATTGTTGACCGCTGATTGGTAACGTGCTTGCCTCATGTCAGTTGGAATAAGTTTAATAACAACCAATCAAGAGCAACCATTCTCCCCAGCCTCAACCAGATAACCACTTTTTCCTGCAAGGATTTGGGAACTTCGGTCCACTAACGACTTGTTTTTTTTNGAGACCTTCCACCCCTTGTGGGTGATGACCTATTTTTGATTTGAGAAACTTTTGATAATTGAGACCTTCCACCTCTTTGGTGATGTTCAACATGACTTTCGGTGCGAGATAGCTAAATAGCTGAAGCGCTAGTAAACATGTGGCCACTAAACTAAACTAAAGTTGTCAAATTTATTGGCAGGTTAAGTTCGAAATGGGCACGCCCTTCAACCCCCTGGAGCAACTGATGGGGGTGTTCCCCGCTGCCAGCAGATCCCACGTCCCCGCCCCCTGGGGGGAGCTCATGTACAGAGTGGACTCCACCATCATAGACTTCTACCCCGAGGACTTCAAGATCGACCTCAACGGCAAGAAGTATGCCTGGCAAGGAGTCGCCCTCTTGCCCTTCGTTGATGAGACCAGGTGAGCTACAAGAACAATTTAGTGCTTCGTGTGATATTCAAGTCAAAGCTAGGTTTATTTAAACGTCTCGTTGCTTTATCTTACTTTACCGTGGCAGCCATTGTTGTAGTGCCATAGGAATTAGTTCGTCTAAACAGCCATTGAGTTTCTGCTAACTTGTTCATTATTAACTCTGAGTCGTGTTTCTGAACCTAATTTCTGATTGCCCAATTGCCCAACCTATTATGCAATAAAGGTCCCTCTCATAGCCCCTCAGGGTCAAGCATGAGAGTCTAAAATCTATCGCATGATAGGTTTGTTGAAAATATGCTTCACTGATGTGACTAAGTGCGCTAAATTTATTGAAGCCACTTTATAACAGCACACATCTCATCAGTTTGGTGCTCCGATAAATTGAATAGTATACTTTTGTTCGTAACTATGTTCGTAACTATCGTTGAATTCACTATCCTTACAGAGACGTTGCTAATGTTAGCCCACGTTATAGCGGTCGTAAAGTTGTCTGCGATGTTGTGCAGATTGAAGCGTGCCCTGCAGGCCGTCTACGACCAATTGACGCCCGAGGAGCGACGTCGCAACGTGCGAGGCTGCGACCGCCTCTACGTGGCCAGCGCACACCCCTCCTACAAGCAGCTGCGCGATATGTACAGGATGGGCATGGACATGCAGACCGAGGTGAGGGTTCCTAGATGGATATGCAGACCGAAGTGAGGGCTCTTACAGGATGGACATGCAGACCAAGGTGAGGGCTCCTACAGGATGGACATGCAGACCGAGGTGAGGGCTCCTAAGGATGGATGGACATGCAGACCGAGGTGAGGGCTCCTACAGGATGGACATGCAGACCGAGATGAGGGCTCCTACAGGATGGACATGCAGACCGAGGTGAGGGCTCCTACAGGATGGACATGCAGACCGAGGTGAGGGCTGCTACAGGATGGACATGCAGACCGAGGTGAGGGCTCCTACAGGATGGGCATGCAGACCGAGGTGAGGGCTCCTGCAGGATGGACATGCAGACCGAGGTGAGGTCTGCTACAGGATGGACATGCAGACCGAGGTGAGAGCTCCTACAGGATGGGGCATGGACATGCAGACCGAGGTGAGGGCTGCTACAGGATGATGCAGACCGAGGTGAGGGCTCCTATAGGATGGACATGCAGACCGAGGTGAGGGCTCCTGCAGGATGGACATGCAGACCGAGGTGAGGGCTCCTACAGGATGGGCATGCAGACCGAGGTGAGGGCTCCTGCAGGATGGACATGCATACCGAGGTGATGGCTCTTACAGGATGGGCATGGACATGCAGACCGAGGTGAGGGCTCCTACAGGATGGGCATGGACATGCAGACCGAGGTGAGGGCTCTTACAGGATGGGCATGGACATGCAGACCGAGGTGAGGGCTCCTGCAGGATGGACATGCAGACCGAGGTGAGGGCTCCTACAGGATGGGCATGGACATGCAGACCGAGGTGAGGGCTCCTACAGGATGGGCATGGACATGCAGACCGAGGTGAGGGCTCCTACAGNTAGATGTGTATAAGAGACGAGGCTATGGGGGCGCGGATGCACCAGGATCCTATCGTCCCGTGACAGGATTTATGACGAACCTCCCCACCCGCGCGTCCCTCAGTGACGCGGGACACAGATTCGTACAGTGAGTCTGGTCTCTTGTCTTCACTTTCTCTTTATTCATGTCGCATCCATCGAATTATTCACTCTTGATTGGCAGCATCCGTTCATTTTATTCTCATTTTTATTTGTCAAAGTTTGTGTGTGTTTTTGAAGCTTGGCACACCAATTATATAGGGGCTGCTGGGTCCAATTTTTTCTTAAATTGGTAGCAATAAATTTAAAATAACGAACGCAAAATAGTTTATTCCTTATTTTATAACGAGAGACAATTAGTAATGTATATTCTTTGCAAAATATAGGTTTGAACGGTTATTTTTTGCTATGATTCGTAAGTTTTATTATTTTTGAATCGATTATGGGCATCTGGCGAAATCAAACATAATGAGATTTTATAATTACAGGGTCTGTCGACCCTGGACAACGTCAGATTGTAATTCAAATAGAATGTTCAGCATTATGTGCTTGCACTTATAATGTTTTATTCTCGAGAATGTACTCTGATGTTAGCCTATATTTCCCCACCTTAGCTCTACTATGGGAGGCGCTGCTCGATTCAACTCAGCGCCGCCCCCAGACTCTTATCAGACGTGAGCAACTCGCACTTTACGCGCACTAAATACATAGCCTATTGTGTGTTATGGATTATTATGTGTTGTTCAATTATGTGCCATGCATTATTTTGTGTTATCCAATTATGTGTTATGTATTATTATGTGTTATATACAGAGATAGTTTATTCATGACTGCACTGTAATTAAGGCGCCAAAGTAAATTGTGCTGCCTTTGACTGGTGCGCGTTTGGCTCACATTAACATTGAACCGTGTTACTCCTCATACTGGCGAGAGGGGATGCTGTGGTGTTACCGTGTGACTTGTATGACCCGTATGACGCGTGACTTGTGACTTGTACCGTGTCCCGTATGACGCAGTTGTCCCGTGTGTGCAGATCACGCGGTGGATACCGCGGGAGCCATCTCAGCAGAGGCAACAGCTACGGTGGCGGTGGCGGTGGATACGGTGGCGGTGGCGGAGGATACGGTGGCGGTGGCGGAGGATACGGCGGCGGTGGCGGAGGATACGGTGGAGACAGAGGAGGATACGGCCGAGGTGGCAGAGGATTCGGTAGCTCACGTGGAGGATACAACGACAGAGGTGGCACCAGCAGCTTCAGAGGCTCTTATGGGTACGTTGATCCTGGTGCCATGCCATAGTCTCATTATTGTTATTGTTTCCATGTCGTATTTTACCTTGAGAAATACAATCTAGGACCGATACATGCAGATTGTCGGTGCGACATTAAAGCTCGACAATTATTACATGAGCAGGAGCGTTGAAGACCAGGGATTATATTTGATTTTACAATTTTAAAGTATATATTTACCGACATATATATTTTTAGCTCCAGAGGCGGGGACTCGAGGCGTGCCAGGTTCTAGACGAGCAGCGTGAAGATCAGGAGACAGCCACACGACTGCCGTGGCACTGATGTGGCTGCCGTGGCACTGATGTGGCTGCCGTGGCACTGATGTGGCTGCCGTGGCACTGATGTGGCTACCGTGACATTGATGTGGCACTGATGGGCTGCCGTGGCACTGTGTGGCCACAAGAAGCAGCTAGTTTTTGCTACAGGCTGTGGTGCTCGTGTTGCTCCTACAGCCCAGGCCAGGTGGCCTCCCAGATGCAGTTTATCATCAACAAAAATTTAAAGCCTGAAAATACAAGATATTTTTCATGTAATGTAACGCTTGCGCTGTCTCGAGGTTTTATTTTATTTACTTATTATCTTGACACCATTGACAATTCACCTAACCTTTTTTATCATTAACTTGACGTTCTTGAAAAGAATGTTATTGTATTACCAACTGAAATATGTGCGCTAATAAGCAAGTTTATATCGTCTTGCTTGAGTAAAAATTTGTATGGCTGAAGTGATACACGTGCGGAGTGTTGCTGCTGATCTGTTCCCCGTAAATTCGTTTATGTGTCCGTCTTTTATTTCTTAACTTCCTTATAACCTGAACAGTTTGTACTCGTGGTATAAAAGTGATGTCAGGGATCGCGGCGTGGCAGAATAAATTCAGTGTCCGAGAATAACTTTACATTTCATTGAACTACACAACCAGCAAACAATTTTGTTTAATTCGTACATTTATCGTCACGTTCTCTTTGAATAAATTGAATACATCAATAAGGAAAATTCAGAATGAACCGTGTTCCTTATAAATATCTGAGATAGCCTCAAATTTTAGGGAAATTAAGCGACATATTGACTCGTCCGTTTATTTTTTATCTCGTTTTACCTTACATAATATTATGAATACATAATATTATAANGGAGGTCGAAGCGTAGGCACATCTGAGGTCATACGCCCCACCTGCTGGGATCAGGAGAAAATTTTCATTAAACTCGGTAGATTGAGCGGCGCACTCAAAGGCGCGTCGCTTTTGTGATGCGCGCGGACCTTCTTTCCCGTCGCCGGCTGCTCAGATGAAAGGCTTTGTCTTGCGATCGCCCGCTGAGGTCGAGCTTGTTTGTTCGAAAGCTTCTTCAGCTCAGAAACTTTTTGGGATTCAAGGAGTTGTTCTTACTTGATCTTTACCGGGATTTGACTCAAAAAGATAGTACAACGTGTAAGAAGCTGGGAGTAATTTTGCGCTAACAATTTGTCCATCAATGAGATGGTGAACGCGTATGGTGAACGACTAGCGTGCGCCAGTATAGTGAACGACTAGCGTGCGCCAGTATAGTGAACGACTAGCTTGCGCCAGTATGGTGAACGACTAGCGTGCGTCGGAATGGTGAACGACTAGCGTGCGTCGGTATGGTGAACGACTAGCGTGCGTCGGAATGGTGAACGACTAGCGTGCGTCGGTATGGTGAACAGATGCTCTCACAAATCTCATCGAAAGAAGCAGCTGAGTCAAGCAAATATTATACATAGTTTCAATTTACGTACATAATATCTCAATCGTTGAATCGCACATTCGTTAATATCTACACGACGAATAATTTATATGCGCAATAATAGAGGGACTCGGTCATCTATAACAAAACATGAATTGATGTCATTGAATGATGAATAACCTGGATAATAATGGATCAGAAGACAAATACAACGCTGGTAGGAAATATAAAACGTGCTTTCCGTAGTTTATAAAATTTTTAGGCATTTTAATTTTATTATTTGAAGTCTGAGGCGATGGCAGGATAAAGCCACAGCTTTTCTTTGATGTGCTTTAATTTTATTATTCGAAGTTAATTTATTAAATAAATTAACCATTAACCTGCCATTAAATTATTTTAATTATTTAATGCCTGCCATTAAATTATTTATGTGTCGGAAATGTCACGACCAGCGCTGTTAATCTTGAGGTCTCGTTTAAGCGGCCCAACTTATGATCGTTCCCGACATTCGGTGGTCACGTATTTTCGCATAGCATTACCGTTCTCCTCGTAGCTGAAATTAAACATGTGCTTCCATCAACTCACTCACGATTGAGCCGCCAGATTACACGGGCGTGGCTGAACGCGGTTACCCTACGGTGGTCTGCATACACATGCCCCTATATAGATACAGTGGTTCATAAAGTATCCGACACGAAGGAAAAACTTTATTTAATTCAAGCTTATCCAACAAAATAACAAACAAACACTATTCTAATGTAAATATACATGATAAATACTAATATCATTTCAAAACAACAATATCATTAAATGTTGACTTGATAATTACAATTTTGTAAAAGTTAAGGTTCAAAATAATAAAGTTTTTACTTTGTGTCGAATTCTTTTTGCACCCACTGTATAGCTCCTGCGCTGCGGTTCACTGCTTATTCTATCAGTTGCGAAGAAGGCGCTGCTTTTTGAACTTCGCACGGACTTCGTCGTTAAGTTGAAGATTAGCTTACAATTGGTGACAAGCAAAGCAGCAGCTTGGTGGCAAACGTGGGATAATGTCCTATTTGATATTTTGAGGTCCTACTTGTCCTTATGTCCTATTTGATCTTCGCAATCAGCATAAAACTCCCTATCGGCCAAAAATAGGCTATGTCACCTATATTTTCGCGATTATGCTTAACTTAGAACTTTCCGTCTCATTCCTAGCGAGATTAAGTAAATGATTTTTTTGTTAATTCAAAATTTTCTTCATAAAATAATGAACGGAACTTTGATCCGTACTTTGGAACATATTCCTACGTTGGATCTGCAATGGAAATTATAGTCCCTTGGAGGAGTGCGCGCTGGTTATCATCGTACCTGTGCAAGCACGCTATGCCTCCTATGTGTGCTGCTGCTCATGTATTGTCTATCACGCTCTTGTTATATTATATTATCTCTTGTGTTCTTTGTTTTCATCGGCTGTAGTCATGGATAACTGAATATCATCTCGTACCGTGCAGGGCTAATGACATCGTACCGTGCAGGGCTAATCAGTTGATACCGTGCAGGGCTGGCTGACGGACAGCGGGCGCGTGAACATGAAGCGCGTGCAGATAATCATGACGAACCTGGGCGAGGTGGAGGACCAGATCTTCAGGGACCGGCAGCAGCGCGAGGTTGCCTTCAAGAGGCGCAACAAGCAGCGCGCTGCACAGGAGAAGATGGAGAGGCAGGCCGCCCAGGAGTTCAGGGACAACACTGGCAAGGGCGCCTTGGGGGTCATGCCGGCGGGACAGACGGCAACCGCACATGGTGCCAAGGGCATGATCATGGAGCAGCGATACCAGAACATGGAGCGACTGCGTCAGCAGGGGTACGCTGGCTCGTGTGGAGCTGTCTGTAGGCTCCATGTGACGTGTGGTCGTAAGGTCGTGCTAGTTGTGTTATTGACCATGTGACGTGTGGTCGTAAGGTCGTGCTTGTTGTTTTATTGACCATGTGACGTGTGGTCGTAAGGTCGTGCTTGTTGTATTGACCATGTGACGTGTGGTCGTAAGGTCGTGCTTGTTGTTTTATTGACCATGTGACGTGTGGTCGTAAGGTCGTACTTGGATTTATGTTGATTTCATACGCATGGGTGAATAATTAATCAGGATTTGAGGCCAAGGAATACAAACTAAACGTAGCTAACGGAAGTCATAAGGCTCTGGTATCATGCCTCATCTGTCACGTGTCATGCCACATGTCATGTTACATGTCATGTTATGTGTCCTGTTACATGTCCTGTAACATGTCATGTTATATGTCATGTTATGTGTCATGTTACATACCTATCATGTCACATGTCATGATACACGTTTATTACGTGTCATGTTACATATCATGTCACATGTCATGATACACGTTTATTACGTGTCATGTTACTTGTCATGTGACATGTCATGATACATGTCATGTCACATGTCATGATACACGTCATGATAAATGCCATGTCCCTGCAGTGCTGGTCCATACGGTCGGGGCGGGTGGCGGGGCGGCGGTGGTGGCGGCGGTGGAGTGAAGCGCTCATCAGACGCGATGGACAGCGACTCTGACGAAGAACCTAACGACGAGGTGCGCCTGTACGAGGAGGGCTTCAAGGACCGCTACTACGAGAGCAAGTTTGAGGTCACGGCCGACGACCTCGCCTTCAGGGAGCTCGTCGCTAATGAATACGCCATCGGGCTCTGCTGGGTCCTCAGGTGGGCGGCGGGGGCGGGTGCTGTGTGGACTGCCGAGGTCTGGCGTGTTGTTAGTGGTCTGGTATTTGTGCGTTCTGTTACGTGTACGTGTTCGTGGGCTGGTGCGTGTACGTGGTCTGGTGCGTGTGCGTGATCTGGTGCGTGTACGTGGTCTGGTGCGTGTGCGTGGTATGTGGAGCGTTAGGAAAAGCACAGCAAAGTCGCTTCTCCAGCTTGAAACATCCCCGCTACAGTAAAATATATTACCTTAATTATATAATAAACTGCATCTATTAAGTATGGTAGTTAGCATGAACTTGGATTAAATTAGGAGAGAATATCTCAATATGGAACTAGAGGGAAAACAGAGCTGGGCCGCGCTACTTTGAAATGTAGCAGCCGCTACCGCTACTGAAAATGTAGCGGCCGCTAGATGTAGCGCGCTACTGCCCACCTCTGAGTGAAAATAAACATGGACGGAAGGATAGGACTAGTTCGTCAACATGTCTTTGTTCATCCCGCTCTATTTTTCTAATTCCTGCTTGAATGCAATTCACTCCGTTTAACCTTCAATTCCTTTAACCAATGCTGATGTTCATGTATACTGACCTGTACTTACTGGGGTTCTCCATCAAAATTTCCCTCGACCTTCCCTACATGATATGATGTGAACTGGTCAACCAAAACCAATATCAAGCACGACATCCTCACTAAACTCCTTAAAGACCTATATAAAGTGATATAACAAGCGTGCATTTCATGCTACCTGTATGTTGGTGCCCTGGTATAGTTACTTGGTTAAGGCCTCTAGGTTCTTTATCCGTGAACCCTGACACGAAACCCTTGCGAGATGAATTTTTCGATAGAAGCAGCATCAGGAAAGCTCTGCGCCGATTGTAAAAGTCTTCAGTATAGACTGGAATTAGGCAACGACTACTTGTATTGTATTCGAGCCTCGACACAGCTGAACAGAGAGACTCTAGTTTGACAGTAATATCTCCCATGCAGGTACTACTACCAAGGCTGTGCATCCTGGGGCTGGTATTTCCCCTACCACTACGCGCCTTTTGCTTCAGACTTCAAGAACTGCGGCAACGCTAAAGTGAGTCTCGCTAAATCACATTTTGCGGCTCGTGATTTGGTAATACTGTTGCCTTAACCATTTCATCATATGACGATCTAAAGCTCCTCCGTTTAACTTTTGGGGCAAGATTTTTTTTTATTTTGTTTCAAAGCCTTTTGAACGGTATTGTGATATTCCATGCCTGTCATATTGTTGGGCTAGTTGACATTTTTAAAATGAAAAATGTGTGTTAGTTCAAATACATATCTTTCTAATGCATCGGCAAGACCTGTTTCGCTGGTTGGCTGAAACATTGTTGAGGTGGCGATGAGAACGAATAGCGGTCTTCTTCGATACCACAACATACTATTACCTGCCTCAGAGTACGAAGTATTAAGCTAATTTGTCATCATGTACACTCAAGTGCATCGCATCACTGGATTGGAGTAAAGCCTTTAGGCAGAGCATGCAAAGCAACCAAAAAAGAAAAAAATTACGAATGCTGGCAGAGATCACCGTAACGATCTGTGCTGCTTCTTGTCGCTGCTGTGGCAAGCAGGCGTCCACATTGAATCTGTTTCGAGTCACCTCCGAAATTGTACTTCAAAATATGTGCATGAAGAGAGCCCATAAGGTGGATTTGCTCTACATTGCTGTCCGCTGATTGGTGATGTGCTAGCCTCATGTCAGTTGGAATTCGTATAAAAACCAATCAAGAGCAAGCACTATGCCCATCCTCACCCGAATAGCCACTTTTTCTGCAAGGATTAGGGAACTTCGGCCCACTAACGACTTGGTTTTTGGCTTTTTCGCAACTCGGTTAACTGTTGCTATTATGGACCCAACGTAAGCCTATTCTTACTTATAACGTTAGAAAGTTACTGATGAACATTTACACTTCATTATAGCAACCATGTTATTATGCTAAAGTTGTCAACCCCTCAGGGGGGACTTCTGACACGTGTCTGTGCTCGTCAGAAGTCCTATGGGATTTCGCGCTCCTAGGGGGATTGTTCCTGAGGATTCCTTAACGCTGAGCTCGCGGTGTCTGACTGCAGGTCTCAGTTGTGGGGTCAAGTTATTATGTAGGTAGGATTCCTTACATTTCCCTTCTCTGTCTCTCTCGTGCGGGCGGCCGACGTCCCGTGTAAGCGACCTCTTGTTCGAGTAGGATTAACCTCACTTTGAGGATTGAGCGATAAAATCGATTGTGATATTATACATTCATTAGATAGATAGAGATATAGTCTTCGTCAGCCTTTAAAAAGATCGTAATGAAGATACTGACGTTGTCGCTAACATCTCCCACTCGTAATTGACATTGTCGCTAACATCTCCCACTCGTGCAGATCCCGATAGCAGGCGATGAGTTCGACCGAATAACTGGCAAGATCTTGCTGTCCAAAGACGTCGTGGGTCATGGAGAGTAAGTCTTATCTATCTAACGCTGACGTCAGACTAGCGTTACTGGAGAGTAAGTCTTATCTAACGCTGACGTCAGACTAGCAATACAGTTCCAAGAGGAGATTTTTCCTATGACATATTTTAGTAAGACGCGCATCGAGCGACAGAGACCTGAGAACACCCATGGTTCTGCTGAAATAACAAAAGTTGAATGTATTAAATTACGGTTGTAAAAAGTTCCTGAAAATGACTTGAGAGCTTGTAAGATGTTCACTGCCCATGAGAGTTTTATCATCAGTTTTGTTTTGCTTTGTTTACGTCTATTTTTTGCTTATATTAAACTGTCTGTCCTGCATGTACAGGGGTCTGGAGAGCCCTGTGGACGGCCAGCCAGACCTGAACAACAACCACGTGGTCTGCGTGCGCTACAAAGACCCCACCTTCGCTGAGGACTTCGTATTCCCTGCCAAACTCTTACCCGGGATCAAGCCCCCGCCTCGGGTCCTCAAGCCTGGGGACCAGGCTGTGGATTTGACCCGTGGGGGAGGGAGAGGCAGGGGAGGGTTTGGGGATAGAGGGCGTGGAGGGTTCAGCAGGGGAGGAGGAGGCTATGGGGGGGCGGATGCACCAGGATCCTATCGTCCCGTGACAGGATTTATGACGAACCTCCCCACCCGCGCGTCTCTCAGTGACGCGGGGCACAGATTCGTACAGTGAGTCTTGTTTCTTGTCGCTACTTGCCCTTTATTCATATCGTATTCATCTAATTATTTTATTTGGCCACATCCTTTCATCATTACAACACTTCTCTTTAACTTCACTTTTTGTGTTTTGTTTATCTGCTACAAATCTTATAATCGATATTTAACAGAGTTCTACCTGTCCAATCGATCTGAAATTTACGCACACGTGCGTAAAGTTAAAGATAATGCTCGAACCAATTAATAGAATGAATTAATTCGAAAAATTGAAATTTTTTTAATATATAAAAAATTTGAAATTTTTATTTAAGTATTTAAAAATAAAATTAGAAATTCATTGTATATTAGTAACATCAGAAACAGTGGCTTCTTCAGAAGTGTTGTCATTAAAAAGCAATTTTTAAACGCATATTATTTTAATCTCTTTAATTTGTCAGAGTTTGTGTGTTTTTTTGAAGCTTGGCACCCCAAACATATAGGGGCTGTTGGGGCGCGTGTCAGGATATTACGTGGACATGAACATTTATCCACTGAGGCCGAGTAGTATGGCAGTGCCGATCTGCGAGGAAAGGATTGGATCAAAAATCTGAATTTTTTTCGAATTGGTAGCTTTAAATTTAAAATAACGGACGCAAAATAGTATTTTCCTAATTTCATTAAAAGAGACAATTGGTATTGTAGATTCTTTGCAAAATATAGGCTTTAACGGTTCGTTTTTTAGTTATGATTCGTAAGCTTTATTGTTTTTGGCGGGATTATGGGCATCTGGCTAGATTCGAGGTAATGAGATTCTAAAATTACAGGGATTTTAGATCCTGGGCAACGTCAGACTGTAATTAAAATAGAATGTTCAGCATTTTGTCTTTGCACTGATAATGTTTTATTCTCAAGAATGAACTCTGATGTTAGCCTACATTCCCCCTCCTTAGCTCTACGATGGGAAGCGCTGCTCGCTTCAACTCAGCGCCGCCCCCAGACTCTTATCAGACGTGAGCAACTCTTACTTTACGCGCACTAAATACATAGCCAATTGTGTGTTGTGGATTATTATGTCTTATCCAATTATGTGGTATGTATTATTATGTGTTATACAATTATGTTTTATGTATTATTATTTGTTATACAATTATGTGTTATGTATTATTATGTGCTATACAATTATGTGTTATACAATTATGTGTTATGTACAGAGATAGTTTATTCATGACTGCACTGTAATTAAGGCGTGTCTCGAGGTTTTATTTTATTTACTTATTATCTTGACACCATTGACAATTCACCTAACCTTTTTTATCATTAACTTGACGTTCTTGAAAAGAATGTTATTGTATTACCAACTGAAATATGTGCGCTAATAAGCAAGTTAATATCGTCTTGCTTGAGTAAAAATTTGTATGGCTGAAGTGATACACGTGCGGCGTGTTGCTGCTGATCTGTTCCTCGTAAATTCGTTAATGTGTCCTCGTCTTTTATTTCTTAACTTCCTTATAACCTGAACACTTTGTGCTCGTGGTATGAAAGTGATGTCAGTGATCGCGGCGTGGCAGAATAAATTCAGTGTCCGAGAATAACTTTACATTTCATTGAACTACACAACCAGCAAACAATTTTGTTTAATTCGTACATTTATCGTCACGTTCTCTTTGAATAAATTGAATACATCAATAAAGAAAATTCAGAATGAACCGTGTTCCTTATAAATATTTAAGATAGCCTCAAATTTTAGGGAAATTAAGCGACATATTGACTCGTCCGTTTATTTTTTATCTCGTTTTACCTTACATAATATTATGAATACATAATATTATAACCATCCACACAATATATTTCTACCTTACACGATATTGAATTCGTTACTTTGAATGCCAGATAATCTTTGATTTCGGGATAGCTGTTCTCTCCTCATTGCGATAAAGCTGTTCTCTCCGCTGAACACATCATAAGTGTTCTCTCCGCTGAACACAAAGCTGTTTTCTCCGCTGAACACATCATACCTGTTTTCTCCGCTGAACACATAACAGCTGTTCTCTCCGCTGAACACACCATACCTGTTTTCTCCGCTGAACACATAACAGCTGTTCTCTCCGCTGAACACATCATAAGTGTTCTCTCCGCTGAGCACAAAGCTGTTTTCTCCGCTTAACACACCATTCCTGTTTTCTCCGCTGAACACATAGCTGTTCTTAACGCTGAACACACCATACCTGTTTTCTCCGCTGAACACATAACAGCTGTTCTCTCCGCTGAACACATCACTGTAGAAGTGGCACAAGATTTGATTTATAGGGCACCGCACTATTTTGCATCGCTGCCGTGACTCACAATGTCAGCATCGCTGCCGTGAGTCACAATACGCACCTTGGTATCAGAGATACGCTGGACGGAAGGTGCGGGCCGGGGCGCTGTGCCCCCCAGCGACCGCAGGTCCACGGGCCCCGAAGACCCCAGCGAGAAGGGGTAGGGGGCAGCGCCGACGGGATGGATGCGTTCAAACGCTGAATAACATTCGAAATGTGGAGAAAAAGATGTTGAAGGCTTCGATACTTCCTTCGCGTATCCTCTGAAACCTGTCGGCTGGTCGCTCTTCCTGCTACTATCCGCTTGAGCATCGCTCCGTTTTTGCTCAATTTCGTCATTGAAGTCCTTTTTGGCAGGCAGCATTTCACTAAGAGACTCATCTTCGTGTTTAACGTTGAATGTTGCTGCCTCTTCTCTGATGTTATCGCGCTTATGAAAGTATCGTGCGCTACCGTCGGCCCTCGGAACTTGATTAGCATCGCCCGATCTTGTTTTCTTTAAATTGCTTTCTAAAGATTCTTCTGTTGAACTCCATAGATGATCATGATCATTGCTTATGACCCTGCAATTGTCATCGGGAGTTGATTCTTCTTTTCTGTTTCTTCTGGTATTTTCTTCACTAAGTTGTTTATGCAAACTCGACGAAGAAGAACTGTATTGGAGCGACTCGTTACGGACCGTGGTGATGGAGGCTGCGTCCCACGTGGAGCTCGTATCCCCGAGCAAGGAAGGAGATAAGGAGCCGTAGAGCGTCGACACGATCACGGGGAGGGCAGAACTCCGGCTATCATTGCGAGGTCCTGACTGACTGATGGCCTTTCTGTTGCCCTCAACCTCGGGGTAAAGCAAGACGTCGTCACGCCCTGGGGGTTGGGATTGTGTTTTGTTATCCTTTAGGATTTCTTCGACTGTAAAAGACCTCGCTCTGGGGGAGTTAGGAACAGTGGGTCTGGTGTACACGTGTCGTGGGGCGGGGAAAGGCAGAAGAGGGTGAGGGGCGATGAGGGGAAGACCAGATGGCATGAGGGAGGCGAAGAGGCCCCCAACTCCCCCAAGCCTGTAGGAAGTCGAGTGGGAGGTTGAAGCGTAGGCACATCTGAGGTCATACGCCCCACCTGCTGGGATCAGGAGAAAATTTTCATTAAACTCGGTAGATTGAGCGGCGCACTCAAAGGCGCGTCGCTTTTGTGCTGCGCGCGGACCTTCTTTCCCGTCGCCGGCTGCTCAGATGAAAGGCTTTGTCTTGCGATCGCCCGCTGAGGTCGAGCTTGTTTGTTCGAAAGCTTCTTCAGCTCAGAAACTTTTTGGGATTCAAGGAGTTGTTCTTACTTGATCTTTACCGGGATTTGACTCGAAAAGATAGTACAACATGTAGGAAGCTGGGAGTAGTTTTGCGCTAACAATTTGTTCATCAATGAAAAATTAATTGCAAAAATCATAGCGAGAATTCAATTTATACACTAGTAAGCATTAATTCGCTATGATTCCAAATTAATTTTCAGTGAACCTAAAACCCACGCGATTTTGTCTGTACATGTTGTCCCGCCATGCTTGATCAGGTCATAAATAATGAGCTTGCAGTTTCATGATAACATTCTCTCGTGAGAATGTGTTAGTTGAGGTTTAATGGTGAAATACTAGCGTTCACCGGTATGGTGAACGACTAGCGTGCGTCGGTATGGTGAACGACTAGCGTGCGTCGGTATGGTGAACGACTAGCGTGCGTCGGTATGGTGAACGACTAGCGTGCGCCGGTTTGGTGAACGACTAGCGTGCGCCGGTATGGTGACCGACTAGCGTGCTCTGGTTCAACATTGTTTCAATTTACATAATTTTCAATCATTGAGTCGCACATTCGTTAATATCTACATGACGAATAATTTATATGTGCAATAATAGAGTGACACTATCATCTATAATAAAACATGAATTGTTGTCATTTAATGACTAATAACCTGGATAATAATAGATCACAAAGCTGGCAGGAAATATAAAACATGCTTTCCGTAATTCTAAAAATTTTGATGTGCTTTAATTTTATTATTTGATGTTTATTTATTAAATAAAATAACAATTAACCGGATGGTTAATAAAAAAATATCAATTTAAAAAATTATTATTGCCATTAAATAATTTCAATTATTTAATGGCAGGCTGAGGCCACAGATCCTCTTCAGTACAAAAACTGCGATGAAATGCGGGGACCGTCGCTAGCAGCGCCAGCGTGGCGACCCGCGAGCAGGCGACTTCAATGAGCTGACAGCGGCCTGACTTATGTGCTGCATGCAGGCTGACAGCGGCCTGACTTATGTGCTGCATGCAGGCTGACAGCGGCCTGACTTATGTGCTGCATGCAGGTTCACTGATGCATGTAATAAACTAAATTTTAATGTCAAACACCGTAGAGTTTACGTACGAAACTTTTATTTGTTTCCTTCATTTCTCTGGAAAACGGAATTTTTGCTATGACCGGCATCGCCAATAAAAAAGTCAATTCAAGTTCCGAATTTATATTAACATTTAACAGATTAACCGTTAATTAACGGATTAACAGATTAACCGTCCTGACATTCATGCAGAAATCAATACGTTGCTGCCAAACTTTCCACTCTCATCGACCACATTTGTCGCCCATTCCTATTGAAAGACGAGAATTTTCAATTGATAAATTCTTCACTCGATCAAGTCTCATTGCCATGCCTAATGACTTCTTCAATTACGCCTCCGCCCCCCTCCCGCAGAGACGTGCGCCAGTCGTCCGGCTTTTGTCTCCAGTCGAGAAAATGCGGAATGTGAGGCACTCGAGCGGCAAGTTGCTCAGTAAGACTGAGGCTTAATTTAGTTTGGAGGGGCAGTTTAGAATCTTAAGCAGATTGTTAATTACGTCCAGACTTCTAATAACTCGGACGAGATCAAACGAGATTCGCTGTCGCGCAACGCTTTCGGATGCATCCTCGCGGCTTCGGCTTGTTGGTGATTAATGATTTATCGTTTCGCGTGATTGGAAAACGGGCTACGTTTTATGGTCATGTAATTTACATCAAGAATATAAATTTTTCGAATTAAAATGGTAAAAAAGAAATGCATCAAAATTCTAAATAATGTTTCAATTAACGCAAAGGTCAGTTAATACACCGCACCTGTAGAAGAATACGCCAGCATTAATATAAAACAATATGCCATCAGTTTTGCGTTAAGCAAAGAACCTTAATTATTATCCGGGGAATGGCAATTCATTCGAGTGTTCGTCGAGCGGTTGCAAATGAATCCAAAGTCAGGGCCAGGTTCGCGCAATCGAATAGAATCGCAGATAAAGCAAGCGCGCTTCTTTTGTTCGGCGCCGCAATTTGCATTTCTTTTGTTTTAGGGCCGGCCTCGCCAGATAGATTTTTGGTGGCGATGACAGCAGGCAATAGAGATGCTGTCCCCAACAGGGAGGCGCTGACTAACTCTTGTCTGGCAATTGACAGAGATTGATGAAGTGTTCCAGAGACAAGGCCACTAGATCCTCGACTGATGATGTCGTCTGCCGCGCACAACTCGGCTTAAAATGCAACGTTAAGACACCAAATCGACACTTCTCCGACTTCAACCACGAGCGCGCCTGTAGACTCAAATTCGCCGGCGCAGCTACCCCCATCTTAACTCCTTCAATTATAAACAGAACTGCTTGAAATTCAGAACATGACTAATTATCAGAGATCCGATGCTAGAGCAATTATTTCAGATTTTTAATTTATTTCGTTGTTGATTAAAATTAACTTATCTTTACCTATCTGTACCGAACATAGATTTTTGAAAGTTTTCATTTACTGAGAAACAAGATGACGTTAAATTCTGCAATAATTCCTCCCGTGCCGCCTCGTTAATAAATAGTTATATCTTGAATATGAATTTCAAGCAGAACCGTTGATAATTGAAAGAGTTGTGATTGTGGCAGCGGCAATTGCGCAGGCGAGTTAAGTCCGCGGTCCAGTTCGGAGAAGTGTTGATGCGGTCGTAGTGACGGCCTTGCTTATATACGGGGAAAGTATTAGCCGCTAGTAGTGGCGGCAAGTATTTTCCATGTCTAATATCGGGCTAAAAGTTGATACAAAAATTACCAATTTTTATTTTTAATTATACATTTAATCGAAATAATCATACATTGTAGCTAAAATTTTAATTAAATGAACCCAATATTCGAATAAAAAAGTACTTGCAGCTACTACTATCTGTTAGAACTTCCCCTAGTACAAGCAAGGACGTATGTAGAAAGTTAGTGAAGTAAACGAAGCTAAACCATCGCCTTCGTCACGACGTGTGTTGCCCGCGAGGTCCAACAGTTCATCGAACATAAAATTTACGATTAGGTTAACCTGTTAAGTTCATAGTCAATTTTCAGTGCATAATAAGGTTTGTTCTCGATATTTTGAAATTATTTCAATTTTTCATTCATGCTTTAAATTGAATGGACCTTTTCTCGACGTTTGCTCACCGTCTACAGACGTCACAGCTGACGAAGCAGCTGCAGCAGCCACGACAGCTGCAGCTGCTGCTGCTGACACGGCAGCTGCTGAGGGGGGCGGGTGTTCATTAAATTAACAAGATTTGCAGACGATTGCAATGAATACATTTTTTTTGAGCAGGTGGTCATTATTAAAGGTAATAATTTACGCGTTCGCGCCCCTGCAAAACGGTTTCGGCCAATATAACATTTAATTGAGTAATTACTCTTGACATCGATATGAATACACCATAAATGTGCATGAGGTTGATTCAGGGTTGCTGCTACATTGAACTTGCCCAATTAATGGAGAAAGAAGTAATTAATGTGGCCTTTACTGGATAGTTAAGTGGCAGGCTAAAACGAGATGTACGAGGAAGTAAGCAACTCAGGATGAAGATAGGGAAGAATTTATATATGTACCTGCCATGAGCACACCAAAAGACGTTACAGTTGCCGATGAAGCTCTGTGTCACGGGAGCGTTTTCAAAAAATAAACGTACCGGGATAACGAGATAGGTAATGTTTAGTAATAAAATAGCGAAACAATAATTTTGTCCCAGAATTGAAAATTATTTCCCGAATTTTACGTGGCATAAACATGTTGAAACGAGACATGTTATTTGGATTTCGGACAAAACGAGATATTTCATCATGATACGAGACAGAACAAGATGTGCCGAAAGCGGAGATTTAGATCAAATCGACAGTACTTTTCTCTTCTCGACGAAATCCACAGTAGATTCAGAAATTTAATTTTCACAAATCTCGTTTCCTCAAATGCACACAGAGCACCATACGTCTCGTTGAAAAGCGTTTAGTTTATGCCTCCCCCGCTCCGGAGGAGCGATCCGCCATCATCAAGAAAGAAAGATTTTACGTTAGGATTTCGATGGACTTACTTAATTATAGACATTAAGGGCTTGGCCACGAGATCGTCATCCTAAATATATTTTTTTTTTTGGCTCTCGGGAGGCACAGCGGGGCTTGCCACGGGGCTTGTCACGGGTTATCAACTCATTGTACACATAATATCCAGTGCAATAAATTGGTTAATAAATGTTGTTGCAGTCACTGAATGTTGAATGAATGTTGTAGTCACTGCCCCAGAAGTCACGGTTTATGAAAGTTTGCTAAAACACAGAAGAGAAGTCTAGATATATAAACGTTTAAGTTCTTAGAATTGATTGCTATATCTAGTCGTTCGTGGCTCGAAAAAATTCTAGGTATGAGGCTGCAAATTTACCTGATATCTGAAGGCTGGAGATGAAATTCCAGCTGTAAGAAACAATGCAAAGCAAACTCTTCGAATGATAGCGGAATGATATTGTAGCAACGATGGATGCGGAGAAATGATCAAGCGCTGGTGGAAGAGGTCATTGGCTGCAGTATGCTGCGGCATGGCAACTTTATTTGCACACGAGCGTATATGATTGAGCGAAGAAAGCTTAAGGTTCGTGAGTGGCTATGCTGACTGGGACTGTTGCTTTGCTGTACATGACAGGGGCTGACTGTAGTGTATGCGGTAGTTCACTTGTTATTAATAATAATTACCAGTATTGCTATTAAAATAATTAATAGTAATGATTGAGCCTGTCTCACCTCAGTATCCTGTTGATGGATGAGCCTGTCTCACCTCAGTATCCTGTTGATGGATGAGCCTGTCTCACCTCAGTATCCTGTTAATGTATGAGCCTGTCTCACCTCAGTATCCTGTTGATGGATGAGACAGAAGGCAGGGCCGAGGCGTCGCAGATACGCTGCGCCGCAAGTTGCTCGCGTATCTCCCACGCGAACATGCCAGGGTTCTCGCACTTCAGACGCAGGATCTTCTTGACAACCGTCGGGGTGGCGACCTGCTGCTGTGAGACACGCGAGACACGTGAGACACGTGATGCTGTGAGACACAGCATACGTTGTATTGAGACAAATGCTAAGTGAGACACCTGCTGCTGTGAGACACGCGAGACACTTGATGCTGTGAGACACAGCATACGTTGTATTGAGACAAATGCTAAGTGAGACACCTGCTGCTGTGAGATATAAAACACGTGAGACAACTGCTCACTAGGTGAGACTCAAGTATCACTACATAAAAAACTCAGTTGAATCGGTTTAATGAAGATTTCGTCGTTGAGCGCAGCAGTGGGCCATGAATTTAACTCGTAAATAATGCCCTGGATTCAACGTCCAGCCTCAGCTTGCAATACAGTAACTTTACTCAGCTACAGAGCTAAAAGCCACAGACTAGGCTGGAACACCGTAATCAAAAACCAGTGACACGCTGCTCGAAGATAATAGCGCCGTAGGTCTTCAGTATGCAGTTCTGCAATCTCACCTACACCGGCCTAACCTCTTCTGGCCTAACCCATTCACGCTACCCCGACTATCAACTTTCTTGTAGCCAATGTTTGGCTCTACCAGCTAACTTGTTCCACCTCCCAAACTTCCTGCAGCCAATAAGGTTAGGTTAGATGAGCTCAGGTTTGTTTAGGGTGGAGAAAGTTGCAACGTCAGTAGGTTAGGCCAGAAGAGGATAGGCCGCAGTAGGTTTGGCCAGATTCAGCATAACCGCGCTTAATTTGAGCATGCTTAAGCGATGTTAAGCAACTGGCCTCACAGTCACACGAATCAATATGAACCAAGGCTGAAGTTGGGCGAAGCTGGCCTCCGGCATGCGACCCGCTGCCAACGATGAAGCCTGGCCTGATGGAGTCGGTCTCGTAAAAGCTCGTCGGGATCTTGGAGCCGCAGCCGCGCTGAGGTCTTACCTTGGGCTTGCTGCCGCCGATGGAGCCTGGTCTGATGAAGCCGGTCTCGTAGAAGCTCGTCAGGATCTTGGAGTCGCAGCCGTGCTGAGGGCTTACCTTGGGCTTGCTGCCGCCGATGAAGCCTAGCCTGATGGAGTCGGTCTCGTCGAAGCGTACGTAGTCGGGCAGCGGCCGCCCGTTCACGAACACGCCCCCCAGCTGGTTGACCCCCGCCTGACCTAAGGGGCGTTAGGGTTTATCTCAGCCGAGGAGAAACTTTCACGTGCAAAAATTATTGACAATCTGAGTCCGGGGAAATTTGTTAGCATCATCAAATACCGTAGAACATCTATTTGTCAACTCGTAGTCAGAATTGCTATGGAAGCAACACTTGAGTTTAGAATTTAAAGGACGCTTCAGAAGATCGAGCTGATCACACACGAGGAGGCGAAACACACAAGTGAAATAAGCAGCAAGATTGTTGAACTGATAACACCTAATAAATGATTTATTATTGCTTTTTTAGTTGAAAAATTATTTCAATTGTTTAAAATTCTGCATTATTAATCTACCGAAAAATTGTCAAAATCCTGTAATTGTATTTTGTAAAGTGATCAAGCAGCGAGTTAAAAGAAAATACTCTGTATTGTATTAAATGGGCTGCCAGGGCATGACTGCCCACCCCTCACACTCACCGGTGTGAGGCATGACTGCCCACCCTCACACTCACCGGTGTGGGGCATGACTGCCCACCCCTCACACTCACCGGTGTGAGGCATGACTGCCCACCCCCTCACACTCACCGGTGTGGGGCATGACTGCCCACCCCTCACACTCACCAGTGTGAGGCATGACTGCCCACCCCTCACACTCACCGGTGTGAGGCATGACTGCCCACCCCTCACACTCACCGGTGTGAGGCATGACGGCTGTAGATTTTAGACGCGTCCTGCGCTGGTCTCGTGCTGCGGTCGCCCACGCAGGTTTATCTTACAACTCAGGCTGGGAGTTGAAGTTCTGTGAACGCTTTGCTGTTTGATTGAGGAACTTCATTACAATTGCTGTGATATTGAATAAATAAATAGCTGTGTCTGGTGGGACAGAGAGAGAGAGATGATGAGCTTTATGGTGACGAGCCTGTTCAGCAGTGCAGGCGAGTTCACTGCTCAGCAGTAGAGGTAATTTTGCTAATAAAGTTTATATGAAGAATCTTACATTCCAAAAAAATGTCTACATGCACTGGCTTTGCTATTATTCAATTTATATTATTTATTGATAAAGAAATTTATATTTTTAGGGTCCTTAAAATTTAAACGCTCTCCAGGGTGGTCTTAAGAGGACAAACATCAATAGGCTATTATCAGCACAAACAACATCAATTAACTGCATAAACAAGAACAGCACAAACAACAACTACACAAACAAAAACAACAGTACAAACAACAACAGTAAAAACATCAACAGCACAAACAACAACAGCACAAACAACATTAGCACAAACAACAACAGCATAAACAACAACAGCACAAACAACAACATCAACACAAACAACAACAACAGCACAAACAACAACAACAGCAGAAACAATAACATCACAAACAACAGCAACTGCACAACGAACAACAACAGCACAAACAAGAACAACTGCACAAACAACAATAACATCACAAACAACAGCAACACCACAAGCAACAGCACAAACAACATTAACAGCCCAACAACAACTCAACAGCACAAACATCAACAGCACAAAGAACAACAGCACATACAACAACAACTGCAGCACCAGAAACATCAGCACAAACAAAAACATCAACAACACCCACAACAACAGCACAAACAAAAACAGCCCAAACAACAACCGCACAAACAACAACAGCACAAACAACAAAAGCACACACAACAACAACACCAGCAGCGACAGGGATGCTCTTCAGTGCACGCGTTGGCCACGTGACGTCTATTAAATATCTATTGATTGCTAGTTACTTGCTGCTGCCTCACCCCTCTTCATCCCTCCCTCCACCCCTCCGTATTCCACCCTTCCTTTCCATCCCTGTCACTTCTCTCCCTCCANGTTCACTGCTCAGCATTGCAGGCGAGTTCACTGCTCAGCATTGCAGGCGAGTTCACTGCTCAGCATTGCAGGCGAGTTCACTGCTCAGCATTGCAGGCGAGTTCACTGCTCAGCATTGCAGGCGAGTTCCCTGCTCAGCATTGCAGGCGAGTTCACTGCTCAGCATTGCAGGCGAGTTCACTGCTCAGCAGTTTAAGCAATTTTGCTAACAAAGTTTATATGCGTAATCTTACATTTAAACAAATGTCTAAATTTACTGACATCGCTATTATACAATTTATAATAGTGATAAAGAAATAAAAGACAAATAAATTATTGATAAATTGATAATTATTATTGCTAATTATTAAATTATTGATAAAGAAATTTATATTTTTAGGTGCCTTACAATTTAGACGCTCTCCAGGGTGGTCTTAACAGCACAAACATCAAAAGGCTAATAGAAGCACAAACAACATTAATTAACTGCATAAACAAGAACTGCACCAACAACAACCACGGCAAAAACAACAACAACACAGCACAAACAACAACAACAGCACAAACAACAACAGCACAAACAAAAACAGCACAAACAACAACAACAGCACAAACAAAAACAGCACAAACAACAACAGCACAAACAACAACAACAGCACAAACAACAACGGCACAAACAAAAACAGCACAAACAACAACAGCTATTGTCCCGTAGGAATAGCATTATCTGGCAGGGCTTGCAGTAACACACATGAAATAAATAAAGGTTATCTTTCTCCAAAATAGTTGTTTATTTTTTTAGGTGTATGTTTAGAGCAATTAATTTTAATTCTTCCATTGAATATTAAATTTGTTTGATCCTTCAAAAACATTTACATGGTACGAGAGATCGGACGGATTAACCCTCTACCGCCTGACACGAGTAACCGGAGCAATATTGTCACAAGCCTACTGCACAAAAAGGATACGTTCTAGTGAGCGCCAATGACTTGCACTGATGGTTGCCGCCACGTACGAAAACTTTAAAATGGTCTCTTTTGCGTACAAACGTCCTCAGGTTGCTACACTCAATAGTTTACGTATAATTTAAGTTGAAAGTTATGTTCCTGCAGAGTGACATATACGGCGATAGAGGGTTGACAAGGTTTACGCTGGATTAAGAGGGATTACGCGCGTCCCACAGGAATAACATGGCAAACACACGCTCTTGATCGTCCGTAGGAATAGCGTGTATTGATGATATATTAAGTGGTGTATCATCTGAACTTACGTACCACCTCGATGTATCGCGTGGCCAAGCGCGTGTGTCGGGACACACGAGGTGTGTTGCTATGGCGCGTGTCGTGAAGGCTGAGGTCGTGTGTCGGTAAAGGAAGTCGTTAGGATCGTAGCGATAGATGACCGCGGACTGCGGTGGATAACGCAGCAAGATAAGCTCCGTGGGGACATCCACGATGATAGCATGTATAATGTGTAAGTGCATATATCATTATTGAATAGATACTTATCATCATCAACAGCACAACAACAGCAGCACAAACAAGAACAGCACAAACAACAGCACAACAACAACAGCAAAAACAAAGCATTTATAAATGATGATAGCATATATAATGTATAGATATCACAAAAGATGATAGCATGTATAAGGTATAAATGCATATATCTATTGAATAGATACTTATCATCAGTAAGGCCCATTTGGCACCAAATTATGCCGCAAGAATTTCAACTCAAAGTTGGCAACGTAACCAAAAGAGGAACGAATTGATCTGCGCTTTGTCACCGTGACTTCTAGCATTTTTGTCATCCGCGGCGTATAAATGCGTGCGTAATGGAGAAATTAGAAATGGAGGTATAGATGGAAGTAATCCTACGGTAAAGCAGTATTATTGAATACTGGCCGGTTAACCGGACGTTGCTTCTGAGAAAAAATCACAATGATCAAGATTATAAAATAATTATAATTTTCCTCTTATAATTGTAGTTTCCAAATTCATGTAATTGCAATTAAAGGAAATCCCTTTCAACGTAATTATAAATTACAGGTCATATCGGTGATATCAATAATTAATAGCCGGCAGGGTCGAAATTACGCCGTTCGCTGCCGTCATCACACCTGCTGGACGCCGCAGCAGCGCCGTGCGGCAGCTGCAAGCATCTGCTATTTTTAATTTTGTTGTGCAATAATTGTTCGTCCATCCGACCTCAAATATTCTAATGAAAATTAATGTCATCAAAAACAATGCGACGCAAATAAAGCAACTGAATTTTCGAGCCTTCTCTCTAACGTTCCTGCGAAGTGCGCCGATTAGTTGATCTGTACAGAGATAATCTCATGTCGAAGTTACGTCTTTCTCTTAATTAACCGTCCTTCCTCAAATTCTCCTTACGTCAGGCGGTGTCTCGTAGCGTTAGTTTGTTTATTAACGCTTGATTTAGACTGAAAGTAAAGAGAATGCGAGTGTTCATCGAAGCAAAGAAATTTTCTTACGCATTGCAGAGCTTCAGGCATTCCTGCAGCATGAGCTTCCCCGTAAACAGCATGTGGCCAATTAAGGCATGCACAATTATTGGTGGTATAGGAAAGCGTCGTAAGTTTGCTGATGGTCCGCACATGGCCTTGGTAGCGCGTAATACAGGTTCAGTTCGTGCGTATTAAAAGCTATTTCGAATTAAAATGCGAATATTATATTATTGCTATTAAACTTCTTAATGATTATTTAAGGACTGATAATGATGAATATCTGTTTTAACGCATAATTAACTATTCATCCCTTGACTAAGATTATCACGAAGATTAAAGTATCTTTATCACGAAGCTTATGTAGCGAAATGCTTATTATTCGAACAAGTTTGTACAACCGATAAAACGAATATTAAATACTAATACTCGCGCTGTCTATACGAAAATATTTATGGTAATTAAGCGAGTCAGTTGTCAGCATCGCGAATATGATGTGCCATCAATTGCTTCATATATTAGGTTTGTTTAGAGTTGCGAGTTCGCCCAAAATAAATTTTCATTTTACGTTGAAAATTTACTGGAAAAAAGATTTAATTTTATTGTCTAGTGTTGAAAAGTGTAGCGATATTTTTTAGTGTAGTAAAAAAAAGTGTAGCGATATGCTTGAAATTGCAAAATGGTTATAAGGGTATTTAATATTTGTTACAACAATCTGCTTCGAAAGACATACTAAACATAACTGGTATGTCTTCCGTAGTCAACCTACGACCTGTCATCCTGAATCCCGTCATGTCGATTCCTGTAATCCTGAATTTCGTAATCCCGAATCCCGTCACACTGAATCAGATCATTCAAAATTTCCGTGTACTAAAATCCGCTAATTATATTAAATAATTTATACACGTATGTTGGTTGAATAAAGACCTGTTCACACTGACATTTAACATATAGAACTCCAATTGATGCCCCGTTTAGAAATACGGAAGGAATTTAAATTTTTCAGTTTGAAAAATATTATAAAATATAAATAATAAATATAATTTGGGTCCAAGCTTTCTTAATCCATTTAAATTTTAACCGTCTATGTCTTCCCCCTATTTCCGCTCACGCGTAAAATGAACGTTGAGGTTCTGCCATATGGTAACCCCTCGACGCTGCAGTTAGTTGCTCGCGTATCTCCCACGCGAACATGCCAGGGTTCTCGCACTTCAGGCGCAGGATCTTCTTGACAACCGTCGGGGTGGCGACCTGCTGCTGTGAGACACGCGAGACACGTGAGACACATGCAGCTGTGAGACACGTGATGCTGTGAGACACGTGAGACACGTGATGCTGTGAGACACATGCAGCTGTGAGGCACGTGCGACACTTGATGCTGTGAGACACGCGTGACACGGGAGACACGTGAGACACGTGCAGCTGTGAGGCACGTGAGACACTTGATGCTGTGAGACACGCGAGACACGTGAGAGACATGCTGCTGTGAGACACAGAATACGTAGTACTGAGACAACTGCTTAGTGAGACACCTACTGCTGTGAGATATATAACATGTGAGATAAGTGCTCACTAAATGAGACTCGAGTATCACTACATAAAAAATTCAGTTGAATTGGTTTTATGATGATTTCGTCGTTGAGCGCAGCCGTGGGCCATGAATTTTACTCTTAAATATGCCCTGGATCCAACGTCCAGCCTCAGCTTGCAATGCAGTAAGTTTACTCAGGCACAGAGCTAAAAACCACAGACCAAGCTGGAACACCGTATCCAGACCAGTGACACGCTGCTTGAATAAAATAGCGCCGTAGGTCTTCAGCCAAAACTTCAGCATGCTCGCTCATAAACAGGCAGTTCTGTATCTGGTCTCACCTACTCCGGCCTAACCTCTTCTGGCCTAACCTATTCACGCTGCCAAGACTCAATCTTTCTTGTAGCCAATGTTTGGCTCTACCAGCTTACTTGCTCCACCTCCCAAACTTCCTGCAGCCAATAAGGTTAGGTTAGAAAAGCTGAAGTTTGCTTAGGGTAGAGAAGTGTTGCGAAGTCAGTAGGTTAGGCCAGAAGAGGATAGGCCGGGGTAGCTTTGGCAGATACATGCAGCATGGGTGCATGGCCATATTTAATTTGAGCATGCATGCTTAATTAAGCGGTGGCTGTGTACATCCAATTCATTGGCTTTGGGCAACTGACCTCACAGTCATATGAGTCAATATGAACTAAGGCTGAAGTTGAGCGAAGCCTGTCTTCAGCATGTGATCCGCTGGCCTGATGGAGCCAGTCTCGTAAAAGGTCGTCAGAATCATGGAGTTGCAGCCGTGCTGAGGGCTTACCTTGGGCTTGCTGCCGCCGATGGAGCCTGGTCTGATGGAGCCGGTCTCGTAGAAGCGGGTGAGGATCTTGGAGACGCAGCCGTGCGACACGAGCAGCTGTCGTGATATGTCGCACGGTCGCACCCCCAGCAGCGCGAGCTCGACGATGCGGCGCCTGACGTAGTCGGGCAGCGGCCGCCCGTTCACGAACACGCCCCCCAGCTGGTTGACCCCCGCCTATACTCGTCAAGGAGCGGTGATGTCACGTGGAAATTAAAGCGTCCCAGAGTTCTCTCCAGGACCAGCTCCTGCCAAGTCTCTCCAGAAAAGAAACGAACAAGACGCACTCTTGCTCGATCCCTCAAAGAAGGCGATTAAAAAGATGAACGAGAAACTCTTTATCGCACCTCGACTTGAGCTCTCGGTCTGTCCCCTCTCCCGCTCCCACCTCGCTCCTCCTTATACGCAACCCTCACTCCTCGGAATTCAAGTGCCGTCTTTCTTCGGTGATCCACGAAATTCAAAGTTTTTTTCATTTCTTCCTCATTTATTGATTTTCTTTTGCTTTAGTTCGCGTTTTCTCTACTCCTAACTTCTTCATTTGTAATAAAACATGCCTAATAAATACAGTCAACCCGAAAAAAATAGTATTCATTTGGACGCTGTAAGGCGTGCGCTTTTCAATGCTGCAGCGACCGTCGCTTCTTTCTTGCCAGGGCGCGACGATGAAGAAAAAGTGAGCGCACGTCTCCGTTGCTGGCGGACCTGATAAAAACCTGCGTGCCCGCAGGGACCGCGCGGCTTAACAGCGTCGGGCAGCCACCGTGCGACTTGTGCCGCAACTTCTGCTGGCGCTCGTGATGATTTTCCTTTTAATGCGAGTTCTTTACCGTTTTTATTTTTAAAAGAACTCGCATCTATACTCGAGTTTTCAGTGGTTTTCTTCTTAAAGCGAGTTCTTTAATGGTTTTCTTTTTAATGCGAGTTCTTTACTGTTTTTCTTTTTAATGCGAGTTCTTTAATGGTTTTCTTTTTAAAAGAACTCGCTTCTAAATTCGAGTTCTCAATGGTTTTCTTTTTAATGCGAGTTCTTTACTGGTTTTCTTTTCAATGCGAGTTCTTTACTGGTTTTCTTTTTAATGCGAGTTCTTTACTGGTTTTCTTTTTAATGCGAGTTCTTTACTGGTTTTATTTTTAATGCGAGTTCTTTAATGGTTTTCTTTTTAAAGCGAGTTTTTTACATGTCTTATTTTTAAAAGAAATCGCTTTTAAACTCGATCTTTCAATGATTTTTTTTAATGCGTGTTCATTACCGTTTTTTTAACTTGCATCTAAACTCGAATTCACAATGGTTTTCTTTTTAATGCGTGCACTTTATTGGTTTCCTTTTTAAAAGAATTCGCTTTTAAATTCGAGTTCTCAATGGTTTTCTTTTTAATGCGAGTTCTTTACTGGTTTTCTTTTTAATAGAACTCACATTTAAACTCGAGTTCTGAATGTTTTTTTAATGCGAGCTCTTTACCTGTTTTCTTTTAAAAAGAAATCAAATTTAAACTCGAGCTCTCGATGGTTTTCTTTTTGATGCCAATTCTTTATATGCTATGAAGACATATGAATGTGCGATTGAATTGATGTTTTTGCTAAGCGTCGCGAGGGTTAACTCATCGCAAATCTTTACGTACATTCTAGGCTGCGTGATATGTTGATAAATAATACTAATAATGCTAACTATAGCACTGCGTGTTGTACTTATTTCAACTCCATTTAATTTAGTGTAAAATTTCATCAATTCTGTTGAAGTATTAATGGTTAATTTGAGTGATCTAAGCTGATAAACTCGGCAGGTGTTATAAGGTCTTGAATTTAGTCATTTAATATTTTTCATCATTTTAAATTCATCATTTTTATTTCATTAGAAGACCAGAGCTGGTCTTCTGATGAAATTATCAAATTTTAATTAATTAGATAATAAACTATAGCTGGTGTGGTTAAACTCATCAGCCGAGGACGCTGGGGATGCGCTGGGGTTGCGTTGAGGAGCTCCAATGAAATCCCTGCGGCTCCCCAGCGTGTGGGCAAAACTCCGCCCAAACCCGAAATTTTGTTTTTGTGTTGCGCTAGATTGCTCGTAAGAAGCGCTGCTGGAGACGCCAGCAAAAATGTGCGACGCAGATAAGAAAAGTCGTCAGGCCTGCCAACCTTCCCGCCCCCACCCCACCTCAGGACACAATTGCCAACCTCCCCGCCACGTCTGACATCCTTGCCAATCTTGCTGCCAATAATGAATGGTGGGCAATCTGCTTCCTTGGCAATCTTGCTGCCAATAATGAATCCTTGGCAATCTGCTCGCTGCTCATGTAAACTTGGTGCGAGTCTTCAAAAGCAAAACTCTGTTCAGTTTAGGACTGCTTAACGTTTATATTGCATCTATTGATGTTATAGTTCATGTGTGTTTTTAATTACTTTGTATAAAACGAAAAGACTAAATAACTAGTTCAATTTTAAAGGTTCCTAAATGAAGTTTTAGCAACTGATGAATACATATATATATTCTACAGAACTTATTTTACAGCTTGTATGAATGAAATAGTATGCTCACTTTACATTAATTGTTATTTTTTAAGTAATTGATAGTTTCAAAAAAATTCGTCCCGTAATATTTTATCGAGATGCACAGTTCCATATTTGAATGCTGGCTGTGTGGTCCGTAGACTTTTACAATGACTTCATACTGCCGTCTAGCCTGTGATCGACGCTCGAGACACCGTCTCCGGCTTTTGTTATTCGAAATTCGAACGCATTTGCATAAATAAAAACTTAAATCCTCTTTTCCATTTATTTAATAGTTATCCAAACAATCAAAGCGATGTTTTTGTTCACGGCGCTCTACAGTAACAGATTCACCTGCGCAATGCGGCCACGAGTGCTGGCTAAATAAATTTGTTATGTGAGAGAGAGGGTTAAGGAAATCATTCGAAAAAAAGACATTAAAATATCGACAGCAATGTTCCGAATCCGCTTAGGCAACCTTACGTGTACGAGCGGGTGTATGCATTGTAACGATCCTCGCTTCTGAAATACCATATTTTGACTACCGCAATTTAATTTAAAAACAGCAACATTGTGCTGCGCCAAACAAACAGCAACATTGTGCTGCGCCAAACAAACAGCAACATTGTGCTGCGCCAAACAAACAGCAACATTGTGCTGCNGTTCATCGAAGCAAAGAAATTTTCGTACGCATTGCCGAGCTACAGGCATTCGTGCATGAGCCTGGCACATAGGAACCAAAGCCATGCACAATTATTGGTGGTATAGGAAAGCGTCGTAAGTTTGCTGATGGTCCGCACATGGCCTTGGTAGCGCGTAATACAGGTTCAGTTCGTGCGTATTAAAAGCTATTTCGAATTAAAATGCGAATATTATATTATTGCTATTAAACTTCTTAATGATTATTTAAGGACTGATAATGATGAATATCTGTTTTAACGCATAATCTATTCATCCCTTGACGAAGATTTCCTTTGTCACGAAGCTTATGCAGGTTTTCATCGTACAATGACGGCCTATGCTATATCCGCGTAACGCCCTATGTAGTAATTGTTACGCGTGCAAGAGAATAGGACAAATCTAGATTTGTACATCAAGCGCACATGAGAAAACCCTTCACAAATTTGAACACGAATATTGCCACCAAGACTCGTGCTGTCATTACGAATATATTTATCGTGAGTGAGTCAGTTGTCAGCATCGCGAATAAGTATATTTGATAAGTACTGATGTACATACTGAAATACATACTGATAAGTATATTTGGTTATATGTCTTTCGAAGTCAACCTATATGACCTATATCATTCTGAATCGCGTCATCTCGATTCTTCTAACCCTGCATTTCTTTATTCCGAATCTCGTACGTCATACTGAATCCGATCATTCGAAATTCCAAGATACTAAAATCCGATAATTATATTAAAATAATGTACGTAAGTTAGTTGAATAAAGACCTGTTCACACTGACATCTAACATATATGGAACTCCATTGATGCCCCGTTTATAAATACGGAAGAAATTTAAAATTTTCAGTCTGAAAATAAATATAAAAATATGTATAGGGAATATAATTTGGAGTCCACGTTTTTATTGATCCCTTTCCATTTCAACAGTCGATCTCTTCCTCCAGTTTACGATGCATCTGCGCCCACGCAAAATAAAAGTTGAGGTTCTGAGCCTATACTTTCAAAAAAAGTTAAGAGATCGTAAGTTCATCAGCCAATCATTGACGGCCTTTCAAGCCACTCTTTTAAAAACAGTTAAGAGATCGTAAGTTCATCAGCCAATCATTGACGGCCTTTCAAGCAAAATCCACCAATCATAGACAAGAAAATAGAGCGTTAGTACATGCGTTTACTTAGCGAATTTTGAAAGTAAGGCCCCTGCATGGTAACACCTCGACGCCGCAGTATATTGCTGGCCGGCACTCCAACAGCCAATAAATTTTTCAAATGCAAGCCCCCAAACACGCACACGTTTTCAATAATACTTAAATTAAGCAATAACTTATTATATCTAATTGGTCAATCGGATTCATTCTTACAGGTTTCATTTTCCACGTTTAGCAGGGACGCAATTACACCACCACTTGTACGTTATAGACGTTAGCGTTCATGACATAAGACGCTAGCGTCCTCAGGTGACTTGGACCAATGAACTTGCATAACATAAAAAATATAAACTCTGGTCCCCCGACACAGGCCTCATGCATGATCTCCCAACATCGGCCTCCTGACGCCTAATACAATTTTTCTGGTCTTTCAACACTGCCATGGTCTTCAACAAAAGCCCCCTGGGTCCCCCAAAAATCCTTCATCCCCAACATAAGCCTTAATGATCCCCTTTCCATAAAAATCCGCGCAGATTCCTCCCCGAACCGTCTCACAATGTAGATCAACAACAACTGATCGATGTTTTTCGAGCTTCGCTTCCCGCGCGCCCGCAATTAAAAAAATTTCCCTGATCTGCAGCGCTGCCTGCAGTGGGTAAGTGAGAAGAGATATTGGCTGCCGACACTCAAACCTGCACGTCACGTAAAAATATCCAACGATGACCGCAGCAATAAACACAATAATTTTAAAAGTTTATTATCGTCAGTTTCACGCTATAAGATTCACCACCGCACAGCGTCAAGAAGTCGTTTCACTCAACGATTTTCACCATAATTTCACCTCAGTTTCATTATAACTTCACCTCAGTTTCACTATACCTTCACCTCAGTTTCATTATAACCTCACCTCAGTTTCATTATAACCTCACCTCAGTTTCATCATAACTTCACCTCAGTTTCATTATAACTTCACCTCAGTTTTACTATAACTTCACCTCAGTTTCATTATAACTTCACCTCAGTTTCACTATAATAGCACAGTGGTGAGGGCACAGCACAGTAAGTGAGGGCACAGTACAGGGAGTGAGGACACAGCACAGTGAGTGAGGGCACAGCACAGGGAGTGAGGGCATAGCACAGGGAGGCCCTGTAGGGGCGGGGGTCCTGGCTTCCCCTCTCGGTCCGAGGGGTCCGGTGTGCGGACCCCGACGCGGCGGCGGCGCGGGCCGAAATGAGGACAAAATTCCCGCCCGGACGGCGAGCCTACGGCGGGGGGGGGGAAGGCTAGGGTGGAGAGGGTAGTACGAAAAGTACGGGGGATTTTTGGCGTACGATTGTTTTAACTCATCAATTTGATATTTCACTATGAAGCATTTAAAGAAAATGAAAATTTTATTGCATTGTACGAATGATCAAATTTTGCTGTGTATTATCATCAATAAATTTACCATCGTGAAGTCAAACCATGCCTTGATACAATGGCAGCATAATACCAAGAGAGGCAGTCGTTCAACATTTTCGTGTATGTATGAAATAAAAGCTAAGTTCTTACTAGTTAAATACTGAACCCCTTTAATAATTAAAATTAAGTCGTTTCATTTAATGCTTTAAGCATGATCTTAAATAAGTAAGGAGCGCCGCGTGCGACGAGGGTAACGGCGTCAACAGCCAATGAGGAGGAGAGCTTTGAGAGCCACGCGCTCACTGACCAGCCATTGGTCAGAGTCCGACCAATGAGAGCAGCGCTTCTTTATTGCCCCACCGAGGTCCAGCCAATCAGAAAAAAGTTCCCGAGGGGAGAGTGAAGTTTTAGCCAATGACAAGAAGCCTTTTTAAGAAGAGCGTCAAAGCTCCGCCAATGAAAGCCACGTTTTTTGCCAGAATATTACATTCCCGACCAATAACATGGCACGATTTTTAGGCGCCACTTGACCATTGAGTTTTTAGCTTACAATTCAATGCTGCCAATGAGGGCACATGACCCCCTCAGTTCCCTCAGCATCTTCAATTTTTTTCTGTGGCAAGAAGAAAAAGAGGGAACGGAGGAACGAAAAGTCATTTGGGTCATATTTAGTTTCAGCGCGACTTTTCCTGCCAATAACAACACCATAACTTATCGGGAAGCGTTACCGTCATCACCACACTCAAGATTACCGTCATCACCACACCCAAGATCACCGTCATTTCTACATGTATGATTACCGTCATCACCACACCCAAGATCACCGTCATTTCTACATGTATGATTACCGTCATCACCACACCCAAGATCATCGTCATTTCTACATGTATGATTACCGTCATCACCACAAGCAGGGTCACCATCATCACCACAAGCAAGGTAACCGTCATCACCAACACCAACAGAAATGCAGCTAACCATACCACGTCAGATGATTTTGATCATTCACATTCAGACAGCTAACCTTGCCACGTCAGATGATTTTGATCATTCACATTCAGACAGCTAACCTTACCATGTCAGATGATTTTGATTATTCATATTGCGCCAGGCAGACAGCTAATATAAACTTTGCACGCAAGATGATTTTGATCATTTACATTGTGCTAGGCAGAAAGCTATGCTATAAATAGGCAGACATCTAACCTTATACCACCTCAGATGATTTTCAACATTCATATTGCATTAGGCAGACAGCTAACCTAACCATGTCAGATGATATTGATCATTCATTTTGAGTTAGGCGTGCAGCTAAATATACCACTTGAGATGATATTGTTCATTCATATTGCGCTGGGGTACGCACAGCTAAACATACCACGCCAGATGATTTCAATCATTCATGTAATGCGTTATGCAGAACGCTGCCCATACCACGTTAGATGATTTTAATCATTCAATATGCGTCAGGCAGAACGTTTCCAATAACATGTCAGATGATTTTAATCATTCAATGCGTTAGGCAGAACGCTGCCAATATCATGTCAGATGATTTTAATCATTCAATATGCGTCAGGCAGAACGCTGCCAATACCACGTTAGATGATTTTAATCATTCAATGCGTCAGGCAGAACGTTGCCAATACCATGTCAGATGATTTTAATCATTCAATGCGTTAGGCAGAACGCTGCCCATACCACGTTAGATGATTTTAATCATTCAATATGCGTTAGGCAGAACGCTGCCCATACCACGTTAGATGATTTTAATCATTCAATGAGTTAGGCAGAACGTTGCCAATACCACGCCAGATGATTTCAATCATTCATGTAATGCGTTAGGCAGAACGCTGCCCATACCACGTTAGATGATTTTAATCATTTAATGCGTTAGGCAGAACGCTGCCCATACCACGTTAGATGATTTTAATCATTTAATGCGTCAGGCAGAACGCTGCCAATACCACGTTAGATGATTTTAATCATTCAATGAGTCAGGCAGAACGCTGCCATGTATACCATGCATGTCCAGATGATGAAGCGTTATATATGCTGTATTCAATAGTGCCATCCAATTTCTACGTACCTCATGCGTACAGCGGTTATGCCGCGCAACCTATAATGTCTATCGACATCGCATATAAAATCGGCCGAGTTAATTGGCGCATAATTGAACCATGGCTGCCAGTTGACTTCATCTATATTTGTGATCTGCAGCTGATCGAGGAAATAAAACTTTATATATTTGAAGAAATGGTCTTCTGTTCCTCATTCTGTTGTAAATAAATTTGATCTTTTCTTAAACGATTCACTAGCTATTATAGAACAAAGAAGCGATCGATGCAAAGAAGTGATCGATGTTGTCAAATTGTATACAAATAATATTATTTTTTTTCCAATTTCAGAGAAAATCGGACATATCCAACATCAGCACAACGCCAAGACAACAACACCAAGTCACCACAATCACCACCATCTGCACGTCATCACCACATCGCGCATCACATGTCGCTTGTTGACCGCAATGTTGGGAATCACAGACTGGGAATCACAGACTGGGAATCACAGACTGGGAATCACAGACTGGGAATCACAGACTGGGAATCACAGACTGGGAATCACAGACTGGGAATCATCCGCTCAATTGAGCACGCGGTTGCCGCACTGCTGGTGCCTTCTCTATACCAGCTGTCATTTCTGACAGCTATTTCTCTGGTGGTTCGCACTATAACAACCAACAACTATATTTGTTGTGTGGTGCCTTCTCTATACTAGCTGTCATTTCTGCCAGCTATTTCTCTGATGGTTCTCACTAACAACCAACAACTATATTTGTTGTGTGCTGTCGAGACTGGGGTTCCGGCACCAGCCTTACATAGGTTGGTTGTATTTTTTTAGAATTGATTTTAAGACTTCGGGTATGAAGAGATCACACGTCTCGGTCTGAGCACAACTTCATTTTTATCTGAGTCGTTTTTCTCTTGCCAGCAGTCGTTTCACAGTTTAATTTCTAGCTCACTCTCAGTTGATCGTATATTGCCCTCACATGGCTATTATTCTTGGATGTGCTGTCAACCATCAACTATTTAAGTACTAATTACAAATTGTAATGTACGCTAAAACTTTGAAGTTATTAGGTAATTCGGAAAGTTTTAAGTATGTAAAGTGATAGAAATACACAAGAGGCAACGAAAGGCAAAAATATTAACAGGTACAGGAACTTGGGAACAAGAGAATGACCAAACAGATATGCAGCTAAAGTCAGGGCTTACACGCTTCCGGATTTTTCAGTCTATCAATAATCTACGTAAATGCCTAGAAATAATAAAAAATTTGTGCTCTGAGTTCCAAGTATAACGCTTCCCGTTACATATTCGCATCCATGAAAAGTTCTAAATACTTCTGTTGTGGCAGTGGAACGTATGAATATACCCATGTATCATGACTTCAGCTCTGCCGCCTTTGATCCTGTCTCACGGTCCCGCGATGCAAGTCCAACAACAGCACCACCGTACAAAGAGCCCCAGCAGCCATCATGGAGTGTGTAAAGCCATCATGGAGTGTGTAAATAATGAAGTTGCCATTGGTTTTTGATAGAGCGCAGGCATTGCGGCGACTCCTTCCGAGTGAGTGAGCTTAGCGGCCGCCATCAAGCGATGTATTCTTCCGCACTGCTGCGTCCTGCCGCCACGTCAACACGTCCTGCCGCCACGTCAACACGTCCTACCACCACGTCAACACGTCCTACCACCACGTCAACACGTCCTACCACCACGTCAACACGTCCTGCCACCACGTCAACACGTCCTACCAC